TATAGATGTACAACTTTGCTTTTGTCGTTTTTAACATCATATATAGATTTATTATATTTATAAGAATTTGGCGATCTAAGAAAATTATACGAATGTAAATACCTCACACGCGTGACACTGCCGTGATGACTGTCTCGAGTTTGACAATTTAAGTAAAGCAAATGTTAGAATAAATGGGCGCGTAAAACAGTGACATTCAAATGTTTGAATTAGTTGTAGAAAAATCTAATGTTTCTTGTATTTCGTATAATCGCAAATCTTCGAGGTATGATCAAAATTTTTAGAAATGACATTAGTGCTGAAAAGTAAGGTGTGATGGCAAGTCTAATAATACGGAATTTATGTTTGGTAGCGAGAGGGATGTGGGGAAGGGAAGAGTAATAAAAAGCTTCAGTACTGGGTAGTGATGTCACAGCCAGATGAGAGAGAGAGAAAGCCCTCAGAGAACGTTTACCCCGTGACTTTAAAATAGGTTTATATGCCTATGTATAGCGCTTCGTTAAAACGCATTCAAAGGTTCAACTACATACGGATTAGACTTTCTTAGGTATATGTAAACATCGATTGAAGTTTCCATGTAACTTTTATCTTCGATTTATTATCTTCCTTGTCTGTGGTCATTTTTCTTTCATTGTTTTTCTCTTGATTTTACTAGCATACGTGTATCTTTATTGCGTATGTTTAAAATTTAATCAAATATATGTATGTGCTTAATTTATTTTACGATTAATTTTAAATTATTGATCATTTTAAAAAATCATTTAATTAATTTTTTCCATTATTTGACTTCGTCTATTGCCGTAATTACTGATACATATCGTTCAACGTGTTCTCGTTTTGTTTTAATCAACAAGCTCTTTTCTGTGAGTGATTATTTACAATTTACATTAATATTTTTTTTTAACTAGAGATATTCGATAAGATTTTGTGAAGTAAATAACAAAATATATAGAATGCAATTAATTTGTGTAAATTGAAATTATAATTAAGAAAAAAATAAACAAAATTAACTTACACATTTGTAACGTATGTAGAAATATTTAAATATTGATAACTTTTATAAGCAACTTCAGCTAACTAACTAACTTTTACTTAAGAAAGACTTTACTTAAGTAGTAAAGTTAAGTATTAAAAGGAGTACACAAATATTGAAAGTTTTAGAAACATCGGTATATAGTTTCGACAGTTTGACAAAAAAAAAGACTTGCCTTTTAAGTTATAAAATTTCTGTAAGTAATAGAGTAAATTTCGTGCCTTAAATTAATAATAACCATAAATGTACTGCCCTTAAGACGGTAAGCATTTATCGCTATTTGCTTGCTTAAATAATTTTGTAAAACAAGTAATCTGCAAAGTAAAACAGTCTTTAAGTGGTTTGCCTTTAAAACGATTTAGTTACCTAATTTTATTAGAAGTGTTTAGGTATAGAAGATTAAACGCAACAAACACGTTTAACGTTCACAATGGATGTTTTTAAGTACATATGTATCGTGGAAATAAAGTTAGATGCAAATTACAATGGTGTTTGATAAACGATTGTTTTATTATGTTTTTTTTAGTCGCAAATTAGGAAAATATTTTAATATACTCGATACTAGTAAACCGGATTATATTCAATCAAGCATGCTTATCTTTTTTTTCTACTTTTTATGTAAATTACGATTTTCTTTTTCATTTTTTTTTCTTTTTCTTTAAGTTGTCTGATCTTTTTGATTCTGATCTTTTAAGTCGAGAGAAAATTTTATATGTAATACCGAAGTTATGAATGAAGTAGTATTTATGATCTATCAGAATTAATCGCTAGGAATTAAAATCTACTAAAAATGAATCCTATATGCATCAAAGAGAAAATTAGTCTCACATATTAAGCTACCATAAATCGTCAATTACGAATTAATTATAAAGTAATTAACGTTGAAATTTAATAATAATAGTTCAAAAATCGTATATATAAAATAATAAAATAATATAGTCTCCATCATTGTCTTAAACTAAAAACATTAATAGCTTCATCTTCATTGTTTTTAATTTTCGTTTATTTGAAGAGAGTGCAGCCTATTTATGGGGGGAGGTCTCTTTGTATATTCCGTTTACGGATCTCTTTGTACATCCCGTTGGTTGTTTTGTCTAATAACACTTCCCACTGTTTGTCCACGTTCAGTTGTATTTCCGTCACTCACCAAGCATCCAACGTATCGACGCTTTATCCTCCTTGATGAGGATCAGGTTATTCACCTTAAAATCCCTTGTTGGCCCATGGCACGCCACTTGGTTCTAATCCTTAGCTCTCTAAAATAAATCTTTATACTATCTTGTTCAGATTTGCTGTCCGAGCATTGGAATCTACTAATAACTATATTTATATCATAATTAACGGGTTGCGTAATTAGGGCATACTCTGTGCAGTATCGATTCGATATAAATGAAACTGCTGATTGAAGTGATACTGTTGACTGCAATTCTTGCCCTAATACAGGAGTCTTTTGATTCTTATTGGCCTCACAATAATGCGTAGGAGTTGTTAGAAGGCATGTTATTATACCTTCTGTCACACGTCCAACAACCATATGATTAATATTGTGTGATCGAATGATTGGCATATAAATAATTATAACATACTCTCGTATGTTTTATCTGATACTTATCTGAGTTACTCATTCCTGAGGACTCATTTTCTAAGAATTGTTCACATTTTTTACGAAGTGATTATTACTGTTGATAGGACCACATTATCGCCTGATTAGTCCCTACCTACGATTGTCGTTGGTATTCGTTTTGCTTCGTTGTCCGGAACGTGTCATTAAAAACTATGTCAGTCCATATAATTTCCGTTGAATGGTTTAAATGTTGGATTGAGGAAGTATCGCTTGATTCACAGTATTAACCGATAGAATTAGCGTAATCTATTGTTGATTGCTATTAAAGCGTGTATAAACATTGTAATAAATTTATATATTTAATGCAGTTTTAATACTATTTTTTGAATTCGATAAGGATTCGTTCATAATCTATGAATTCTTTTTTAATCTTTATGTTAGTTTGAATATTACCGAATTTGTCTGAATCTTTTTTAATTACTCCCAGAAATTCCAAGAAATTGATTCTAATTATTGATACTTTATTATATATTTATATCAAACGAACAAAGACTATTAAAGAATAGTAGATTACGTTGAAATAATTGTTTGATTCGGAATTCTCGTGAATATGCTTATCTTCCCTGCTATTTGATCTCAATACGCTTGAAAAATTCTATATTCATGATTAACTATGTCACATAAATAATAGAAACAAGACGAGAATTATCTCTCACTTATTTCAAAGTGAATAACGAATAGATTGTTTTGTTTTTGTTAGCTGGTTTATTGGAAAATTATCAATTGATGATAATGGGTTGATTGGATAAAGGGATCAAGTATTCAAATATCACCATTTATGTTATCAATACAAAAATGATTGGCTTGGAACACGAATTGAAATTAAGTGAGTCGAAACCCGGAAACGGAAGCGCATTTATTATTAAAGTTTATGAAAATTTTACATCTTAAAGACGAAATAGTAAGTCTTATCTATATGTTGAGTAAAAATTATGGAAACATCCTTAGAAGAAATGCGGGTCTAATTTGACTGAAACTATCCACTTTTGAAGTGACTTCATATTACCCGTATTTTCCTTATCAGCAGAAAGAGTCACGTTAACTAATCCCTGAAGCATTTAACAGAGAAACAGAATGGAGACTTCAAAACTGATTTTCATTTATAATCAACTTAGAAATGAAAGTGTGCAAACTGTAAATCTAGAAATTCTATGTGTTTATGTAAACAAAGATCTTACTCGTTGAATTTCGAAATCGTTAGAGATAAGAATAGGTGGTGTGCAAATGAAGATCTTCTCTTGTCCGTCTATCATCATCCTAGGGGTGTTTTCCTGATATTTCTGCACAATAATAATGACACCCGCTATACTGTTTTCGTTTTAATGATACGATTTCCGGATTAAACGAAACTCCTGGAAAGAGTTTATAAAGGGGCGACTGGGAAGGATAGACGGGGAGGTAGGGGGTGGTTAGGGTGAAAGGGGAGTGAGAACACGTTGCATTCGCTTCCTAGATGAGGAAACGCGACGAGTATCGGCTTTTCGGCGAGTGAAGCTCCCAGACACAACATAATTACGAGAAAGAGGGAAAGTGCAGCAAGAGGGTTGCCGCGATTTTTCAACTTTAAGGGAACTTTATACGAGGGTTGCTTCCTTGTCCGGATCAATACGGTCTCGCCCTCTATCGCCGTCGCAGTCACTACTACCATTACCACGACTGAAATCTAACATTTATCGATACCAATTCAATTACGTTGTACCGATAGACAACCCCCTCTCCTTAATGTTTCACCGTGACATTGCTACCCTTTCGAACCATCCCTATCCGCTTTGAAATTGATTCCACCCCCTTTTAAAAAGATTAACAAATTTTCATACGTTGGCTTCGAATAAGAAATAAAATGATTCATTATTTATTATTATTGTTATTTTTATTATAAATGGTATTAGATGTATAAAACGAAATGCGGTAAATAACATTTGAATCCTAAAATTTAATTAGAATGAAGACATTTAAAAAAAGAAGTATTTTTGATAACATCTCTCTTTTTAGGAATTAGAAAATAATATTTATAATGCGATTATATAAAATATTATATAAAATATTACCATTTCCAAATTAAACTACACAAAATGCATACGAGTATTATATATTAGGTCGCTTGAAAAGTTCCGTCATATTTTACTTAAAATATATATTTATAGATCGGTACGAACTTTCCAAGCAACCTAATATATGCTTGACTTGTAGTCAGTTTTTATGAATCATACCAGATAAAATAGAAGTCTTGAAATATCCTGACAATCGGGTTTAATTGATCACATTAACTTCACGTCAGATTTAATCAATTGTCGAGTGCTTATACGTGTATTGTAAGTTGCTGTATTCTTACTCTTCTTGCAGGTCGTTCAAAATGGGTTGGAGATCCTCACGTATCTTGCCGATCGGATGGGTCATGATTTTAAGCCTTATATTTCTACAGTAATACAGCCAATGATAGATAGGCTAGGTGAGTAATGATAAGCCATCTTTTAATTCAATTTTATTACACTTTTCCAATAGAAACGTGTCAGGTAGTCTAATGAAAAATCGACAAAATACGTCAAATCGGGATTTTGGCGTCAAGGTGGTCGTTTACGGGGAAAACTTGGTGCAAGAACAGTCAAGGATTTTCTAATTAGCCCCACCAACAAACTATACGTTGAATCATAGTTAATGACGAGATGAGTTCCAGATAGAACAAACTCGATCAATGTTTTAAAGGCCTTTAACGAGGTTGAAGACTATGACAGATGTCAACCTTATTTGTTCACATACTCTCGGCCTCTCCTTTACTATTTCTTTGTCTTTCTAACTTGCCGGTGTTAACGATGTTTAAGGAATTTGGTGCGAACAAAATTTCAGTTTTACTCGACATTACATTTCTATATTATTTCTGTTTTTATTTTTTATTTTGTTGTTCTTCTTTATTTTTAATTTTAATTTCGCATACAAGTCTCTATATTTTATAATATTTCCTTTGATTATATCAAGGGTGAAACGTTTAATATATTAGATGGTTGATGAAATTTTTAAAAGGCTCGCCTAAGTCTCATGTAGATGTATGTTAGTGAGTCAAGGTTTAAAGTGGATTGAACGTAACTTGGTTGAGGTTAACCGGCATAATTTGTAAATAAGGATTTCTAGTTTCTACGTAATTAGATAAGAATTTTCTATTCCTTTTACATATTTCTTTCTCTGTTAATCGCTCATTTTCGAAAGGATTAACCTTTAGTTTTCTATAATACGACCACAAAGAAGAGTGGGACACATTTTTCTCATTTGTTGTTTTATTTTATATAACGTTTTTGTATTTGCTCGGCTTTAAAACACATTTATGTACATCTATATATATCGTAGGACAAATAACAAGAAAATCCTGCAAATTTTTTTAAAAGATACTTAGTCTATTGAATCACCGTTTTCTTAATGAATTAAACACACGGCTATTATCTTCATTATGTTCTCGTTCGTTTTAACTTTTAAGAGAATAAAAAAAAGGACGTCGTGATTCAAGAAGAATTTTCATGTTAATTAGTACGGAAGAGAGAAGGACTGTGAGAAAATTCTTCCTTCTCGAATTTAGACGGAGAAAAAACACGCGTGGAAGTCATTCACATCAAACACGTTGTTGTCGTAGAAACACACATACATATGTATCTATAAATCTCTGAATACTTCTCTAAAACGCCTTCTATGTTATTTCTACCACTACCAGTCAAATAAACTATTTTTAAACTTTTGTACAACTTTTACATATTTAAATGCTATCACATTGCTATTAAATTTTACTTTTTTAAAAAATATGTATACAGTGTATTTTTCAGTATTTACTTCTCGTTTAATTTTAACGTTAAATGAAATAAAAAATGTAGATATCTCATATTTATGGAATTTCACATAATTCATTTATTAAAATTACAAAGTTTATACGATTTGATAAGAAAAGCGAAATAAGCCATCGATTTAATTTAGGTATACAATTTTCAAAAAGGCTGTCTACCAGCTAACTGATTAAATGCCTGTAAATATAATAAATATTGCTTTATTATATTGTTATTGTTTACAATTTCACCTACTTAATAGCGTTCAAATGACTTAGAGGAGTATCCTACCGGCTATTCGGTATTCACCTAAAGATTTTCAAATGATCTAAAACTACGTTATATATCGTGATGAATATATTGTTTTTTAATTAAATTCTTGTTGTTTAACAGGTGACAGCAAAGATGCGACTAGGGAGAAGGCTCATTTAGTTCTTCTTAAAATTCTGGAGAAGGGTTGCTTAACACCACAACAATTGTTGGATAGATTTCGTCCTGCTTTCACTCATAAAAATGCCAAATTAAGAGAAGAAGCATTGGTTTTATTAACGACAACCTTGAACGAGTAAGTAAAGAATATTATACTGTTCACAGGTCAAAATGATTAACTCCACTTTCTGAATTTTTTAAAATTTTATTACCAATGCGCTTGACCAATATTTAACTTGTCCAATATTTAAATGTCCTTAATAGTAAAGCTTAACAACATTAAATAAGAATAATTTTTATAGTCTTTTAATAATAAATGATATGATAATGCACATTACTTTATTAATCTTCTCTATTATTTGTTTTTTTGGAGTTAATTGATTTGACTCTTGAGTGGCTCACGCAAAACTTGTTTTTATATTTTATATTATTAAGATTTATTATTTATGTGTTGTTCAGATATTTTTCATATCCATTTCGTTTCAGGCATGGCGCAGACGAGATGGCTCTCTCTGGTGTGATTCCCAGTATCGTCAAATTACTCTCGGACCCGTCCGAAAAAGTTCGAGAAACTGCATTAAACACGTTAACGGACATGTACAGACACATTGGCGAGAGGTTGCGCGTCGACTTGCAGAGGAAACACAATGTGCCGCAAGCCAAGTGAGCGAAATGAGAGAAATCGATCTTTGGCCCTTTGCCTGCATTAATTCGATGAACGGCTACGTTCGTTCCTTTCAACATGAGAACTTGCGGTGTCATATCTAATTTCTAATGTGGAAGTACCGATATCCGTTCATTTTACACGATCAATTGGTCTGTAAAAAATATTCATGTGTTATATATGTATAATATTAATATTTTCACATAAATGTGACACCGCATTTGTATCCGTAGTAATTAGGTTCGTTATTATAATTATTGTTATTGTTGTTGTTATTATTATTATTATTATTGTTGTTTATATACGCAAAGTCATTTAGTTTCTTCGTAAAAGTATAGTTAAGTTGTTAAAAATGAAATAAGAGTAAAGGATGAAAACTCTAAAATACTTCTTTATTTTTAACAAGATCGATTTGTATGTAGGTGATATATTCAAGAGAAACAAGTAATGATAAATTTTTTATAAAACGCGTAGAAGAAAAAACTTGGTGGAAAGTTATAACTGATGTAGAAACATAAATTATTTGATCTTTTTTTTCCGTATTATAAGTAGAAGTTAGGTAAAGTTAGGTAAAAACGTGTTGCAAATCTATTTGTGTATAGTATATTCCTTCATGAATTAGTAATATTTATATTTATATTTGTATTCGTGTTACAGACTTCTCTTGTTGATCAAAAAGTTCGATCAATTGAAAGCATCCGGCGATTTGTTACCTCTCGCAATGTCATCCGATGGTGAGTTAGTTATTTTATACACTTTTTCTTTTCTTTTTGCACAAATACGAAATAATTGATCCAAATTATGTAAAACTATCTCAATCTTTAAAATGACAAAAAATTAATTCGTAATTTTTATTTAGCAAAAAATTATTAAACTATAGAACACTTTACATTATTCAATCATTAAAACTATCAAGCTATAGTTTAATTTTATGCTCATAAAATAATGAAAATGTAAAGTAATATTAATTTTTGTACTAAGCTTAAAATCTTCAATTTAATTTTACAGAATATCAGATCATTAAAGATTAGTAATTTTCCGCACGACTTGGCCCAATTGATTTCTTTAAAAACTTGATAATTGATTATTCCACTACTTTTTAAATAATTTACGAATTATTTTTTAATAATTTAAGAATACAGATTATAATATTCTCTCTCTCTCTCTTTAAAATTTCATATCCTAATTTAGAAATAAGACACTATGAAAATTTATTAAAAAACAAATCCGGTAGTCGCGTTATTAAACAGTATTCAACGTATGAGTTTGCATCGTGCTGCCATCCAGGAGAGACGAAGGTTAGCACGTACCATACACCTTTGCATTCGCAAATTCATCTTCCGTTCAAACTCTCTTTCTCTTTTTTTCTCTATCTATCTATCTATCTATTTATCTATCTAGCTATCTCTCTAGCTCTCTCTCACCTTTTCTAACTTCTTGCATACACATTACTTCATGAATATTCAGCGAATACCGCTTCTTCGTCAATACGATAAGAATACTTCTTCGCGTACACAGTACTACCTGACATTAGCTAATTTTAATTTAATTGCACTGTAATGCAACCTCTTCTTCATCAGACTCTTTCTTCTTTCCCGACAAGCGAGACCGAGCGTGTTGCATCGACGATGAGCAAGGAAACGCGATGGCTTACGAGAGAGTACTTATGCGCTCTTTAAAAACCTATGATCTATCTTTCTTTTTCACTCATTCATTCTTTTTTTTTTTTTTTTTTTTTTAAGTGAACCAAGTGACCTGAAATTCTTTTGTCGTCAACATTCGTAGATGATTCTTGATGTGATCGTGCGTTCAAAGTTCATACGAGACACACTTCAAAACATTACAAAAATGATAACATTTACAAACGTCATTTTTTGTTTGAAAATATAATGGATTTCCTAATTCTTCTTATCTGTATCGCTTACATAATATTACGTTCGTAAAGTATTTTAGTATCGTAAATACATACTATATATACACATATATACAAATGCATATGTATCGATAGATATACGGTAGCACGCAATATTGGCGGTATATTCTTTCAAACGTCGCCTGTAATCTATACCAAGTTATAGAACATGTCTCGCTCGAAATCGCCGGCCTTGTAACGTTGTACGACTACTGTCCCCTTCCCATCTGGAGTATTCAAATTTCGGTCGCAAATATTACGTGTCGCACCGGCAATCGAATACTTGACGCATTTTAAAACAGTAAAGTCTTCTAGTGTAAATATGAGGCTTTTGATCATTCTGATGTATGAAAAAAAAAGGAAATAAGAAAGAGAAGACGCGACCCAATGATTCACGTCACGCGTGGATTCTGCTAATGATCACGTAATCGATCTTCTGTTTCTTCTAATGACAATGAGAATGAAATGAAGAAGAGAGAGAGAGAAAAAAAAATGGAAAGGAATCCTCATGTTATAACTTCCTCCTACGTAATGTTATAGCTTCGTGGAAAATACAATACGACGATCAAAGGATTTTGTTTAATCGAGGTCTTTTAATTTCTCAAGTTTCACATCAAATTCATATTGATGATTAATTTAATCCTCTATAAATTAATTTTTCTTTTTATTATCTACAAAAAAATTGAATTGCCCGAAAAATTAGTGCTGGGTTATAAATGTATATTCAACATATATTTTTAAGTATTATATTATATATGTTACGGTCAATGTATAGATGTTTAGTATTATTACTAGTTTAATTTAATTTAGTAAGTTTATACGGTATAATAACATTATCTATACTAATTCAATTAATTATATCATAATAATTGTTACTTACATTTTAAAAACATTACCCATTTCATATATAAAGTAATAATTTATTTCGTGAACGATAAAATAAAACAAAACATATAAAAAGTATATATGCAAGTTTGTAAATAAAGTTGCATACAAGACATTATAAAGGGTCGGTATTATTGATCAATCACGAGTATAATAGAGTGTAAGTTATTATATTATTTGTTGTATGTAATAGTGTTTACTTTAAATTTTGATATTGCCAGTTTTCCAGAATTTTTAATATTTTTCTGTAATTATTAATATAGTATGATATGCATTATATCTTTGTATATAATAACTGACGATGCATTAACCTATTTATATTTCGTTTATTTTTTGCTGTATACCGAATCATTAGACTTAATAGAGAACATTTAGCATTTTTATAATAGAAAAATATATTTTATCTTTTATTTTTGTTAAAATATTTATAAGAAAATATTTAGCATAACTAAAGAAAAGCAATATTTAGCAGCAATACTGGTAGTAAAAATTCAAAGAGTTAATATACATTTTATTGGTATTGATCGATAACTCTTGGTAATTATGTAGGAGTGTCGTATTTTGATACGAGACATGAATAGTTAAAATCCTTCATACATATTTACCTATCAATATTCGTCAAATTTGTCACGATGGTTCTTGATTCCTCTGCTTTTTAACTCGCTTCGTAATTCGTCGTTCGTCGTTTACATTCGAACGGACAAGCTGAAGGAGCGTGACTAGGAGAACCTAGTCAGCTTTCTTCGTTATTCTCTCTGTCAGCTAACCAGCATGTCTGTTCTTTCCTTCATGCTGCTACACCTCGTGAATACGCATCGATCACGATTAGGTCATACATGGGCTCGGCAGAAGTCACGATGGTTCGACTGATCTCAAAGTTATTAATAGAACTCAAAATAACCGTGAAAAGATAATTGTCTAACATCTTTTTCGATCGTTCAAACAATTGTCATTTCCGTTTGTAATCTTAAATAACTTCTAACTTAAGCTCTATTTTCTTTCAAGATTCTTCATGAACCGAATTTTCATGGCCTTATTTGATTTTAAAAGTTTTCTTTCGTCTTCTCATCCCACCTCATTTTAATCCAATGTGTCCTAAAAGTTGAAATCAAATGAAAAGAGGTGATAGAAAAAATCATTTTCAATAAAAAAAGTTTTATGTATAGTCATTTAATTCCTCGCCATTTTTAAGTTTAGAAAAATTAAAATGACTGTATTTGTATTAAAAAATAAAAAAAGAATTTATTCCATTTTATTAGAGATAAACTTTTTTTTTTTTTTAAGTAATATAGCCAAAAATATTCTAATGTGAAAATCATATTTAACAAAAGTTACCTTAGATTTCAGACTTAAGAACAATAATATAAAGTAAAAGTTTCGATTAAATTTATTTACAGTAAGAAAAGTGGCATTTTTTTCATCTAAAGAAATTCCATTTTTAATACATAATATACACTGACAAAGAAAATTATGTTTGATTCGCATTGGAGCGATTATTACAAAGAAATAAACACGTGTAACTTAAAAACAATGAGAAATCGATATACATGGCGCTTTCTTTGTTGGAAATAACCTCCCTTATTATTTCCTTTGTATTGATCCATGACTTTAGAGACGTTGAAAAGATTTAATTGACAATCGAAATTAATTGAAAGTTAGATAGTAAATCCATCTTAATCACGCGACTTTGTTGTCTCTACGGTATAAATTGTAGACACGTGAACACGTGCACAAAAAGTGAAAGGTAGTGCCGGCTAAGGTGGTATATAACGTAGATTTATCTGTAGTATGCACAGTTTTACGTAGCACGATACGTTCAATCAGATATGAAATACAGAATATTGCTGGTGCCCTTTTTATCATTGACCGGACGTTCTTTAACTGGTGCCCTGTTAACTTTCAGGTCACTCGATTGACTTTACTTCGGTACGTGGTGTAACTTGAGAACTCACGTTTATAACGTTATAAACAACGAATGTAATCGCGACCATAATCGCGGTCAAAGAATTATCAAAGAAAATTGTATCTCTCTCTCACTCAATATCTACTTTTACGATCAATAAGACGCAACGAGACAAACGTTGTTTCAATTTAAATAAAACTAAACGACGCTAAACAGTTTAGATATGAGATTTTATAATTAACATAATCAATGTAGCATATTATCTCAAGTTAAAAACAACGGTACGTATCATTGAAGTTTCTATCCTTAAACTTTTCCTGCTCAAAAACGTTAGATTATAAAAATAAATAAATTAAGAGAAAAAATAAAAGAATAGACGATCGTTGTTATTCACCGATCAGAAACTTCCGATTATAAAGAAAAATAAAAAAGAATTATGAACGAAGATGGGAATGCAAATTATTAAAGATCAGAATTATCTTTGAAAATTAGTTTTAAGTTTGTGATGGCTGACGATATACGGTATAAACGTATGTTTACGTACGATAATATGCAACGTATATGCGATATTATGTAATGTTGTCGGCTGTGCCATTATCACCTTCCTTATGTATTTTAGCAAATACGAACACGTACGTTAGCGTAGGTGTAGTCGATTTTCCTTAGCAACGTTTCATGTATAAATGAACGATTTGTGGGTTCGATGTTCCTCTTCTTGAACTAATATGTAATTCAATAGTCGGTGTCATTGTCATGCGTGAGAAATACGTTGAATCGTTTATTTTATTCTAATCCTCTCTTCCCATCTATGCTAAACATATAATCTCCACGAAATTGGTAAATTTGTATTGTAGCGATAGTACCATGATATAATATGTATTAGTTTTTTTTTTTATATAAATATTAAGAAATAAATATATGATAAAATATATCCTATACTATAAATAATAAAAATACTATATATATATATAGTACATACATAAGAGTGTCCCAAAAGTCGCTTTACCAAATTGAAAAATTATATATTTTGTTTGGCAAGTATTTGGAGTTACGGCATAGTAGACCCATATTGCAATACTATAGCTGAAGATTCATAGCTTGAAATAAAAAACAAAATATTGTAATTACTAGATGTATATATATAGTACATATTATTACACACATACATATATAGTACATATATAGTAATAGTATATATAATAGTATAATAGCATATTATATATACTATTACTATATATGTATGGTATGAAGCCATTATACCATACAAAATTTCAACAAATATCGAAATTATCTTGAATGATCGATCTACGATTTGTATAAATTTTATTCATTTTACACCGAATTCTTTTTCTGTGAGGTTTCTTCTTTTTTTTCTCTTTCACCTTATCTATTTTCGTCATTTTGTTATTTTGACGAAGGTCACAACAAGTTTTGAGAGAGATCCATCGTAAACACACGCTATGGAATTTATTTGTATCTTAACACATCTTTTTCTTTATTCGTATTTCGTGTTACGCAAAAAAATCATAGAATCTAGCGAGAGTATGTACAATATACATAAGTCGCGACATTAACAACTTACAATTCGCCGAAGATCGTCGTGTGGAGGAAATTCCTGGCTATCGGCATTGTCGATTGAATGCCCGTTAATAACGTTCACGTCGCCTCTTTTGCTTTCTCCTGAGAACTCCGTTGACATCAATGTAAAAATATATTCCGAGTAGAAAACATTTTCTAATTCTTTTCCGTTTACCTTTCGCATCGTTAATTCCAAGAAGATCACAGGCTTGAAATTAAAATCGAGTCACGCCATTTTGTAAAATAGAAACGACACATATAAATCATCAAATCTTTTTTATATTCGATCTATACGAAAAATAGTCTATGCTTTTTTTTTAACTTTTTCACTGTTAAAAAACAATCTTTGTTACTGGTTAAATTTCTGATTACAACATATGAAATTGTAATTTTTTATTTTTACTGAATTTATTACATAGATTACAAAAAAAATTCTTTATATCTCAGAAATTGTTCTGTTCGTCCTTTTTAAATCCTGGCTGGCGCCTCAGCCAAAAATATTACTCCCAAGTCTAGACACACAAATGAGCCGGTCATTTGCCAAATCGATTAACTCTACAAAAGAAAATAAAGTTATATTTATAATGTTATATCATTTATTATTCAAAGACCATAAAAAATTTTGTTACTTTTTAGCGTTAAACATTTAATCGTAAAAATTTATTTTAAATATAAAAAATTTAGCTTTAATCAAATGCTCTTATACCAAAAACTTGAAAAATGATGAAAATGGAGTTAATAAAATCTGTAAATTAATCAAATTTAAATAATTATTATTTATATATATAAAAAAATATCCTTGTAGTTTCTAAATTTCTTCTGCAGTGTTGAACAAAAGTACTTTCATAAAAATTAAATTTTCCTGTAATATTATCTGTATAAACAAACTAGCTTTTAACAATTAATAATTATTTTTAATTAAAAACGAGCCTTTATACATTTTTCATTATTTTTTATTTATTTGCTTTTATCGTACATTAATTAAGAATAGTCTTGTAACTAAAAGCGTTATACATTGTTATTATTTATTTATTTGTTTTATACGTTGTTCGTTATTTATATTCATTCTATTTTATTATATACTAATTAAAAATATTTATATAATTCTTTAAAAATATATCTGAAAAAGATATATTTTACAATCAAATTTAATATAAAATCGTATTTAAAGATTTATCAAGGATAATATTTTACAAAAATCGATAATAGTATATATCAATATTTTTGTTTGATACTATCCGTGTGTAAATTTTCCCTTTTATTTTATTCCACGATCTTTAATTGGGTAACCTCGATATCATGCCATGTAATTAAGAAATGAAACTTATAGTAATAGGAAGTGGGAAACGGAAAGATGAAAAGGAATTTCCGATAGAGATTCGCATCGCATGTTCCCTCCCTATGTGTTATCTGGACCCTCGTGATCGAAGCATTTGGGGCAACGATGGAGGAAGAGAGCTTTGTGTGTTGCCCCTTCCCCCACCTCTTTTTCTCTTGGCCGAACCTGGGGAGTCTTTCGACGAGAGACGCCGCAGTTTAGTTTGCTTTGCGAGTCGAGTCGCGAACAACTTGCGAATCGTTCGTAGAAGTGTCGAACTACGTGTAATTTATTATCATATATCTAGAAATTCACGAAACCTTGGTGTATTTGTATAATGATTATATGTAAATCTTTATTTATTAAGTGTAGCGATTATATTTGGTGCCTTTCTAAACAAATCTAGTATTTATTTATGAAGTATTCATTCATCTTTTATTCTTTGAAATAGTATCCATTATTTTCGATGACTTTTGTCGATTGTTTAAGCCATTGTCGAATTCCTTGGCAAAAATAAAATGGCGATTTGGGTAAAATGAATGTAATATCAAGGTACCGAATTATTTGCTACACATAATTATATGCAAATATATGTGTACTGGTGGAAAACACGCGTTGATTTACACTTACTAAACAAATCTTCGTTTGTTGTACTTTAAGTGATTTTTTTTTGGTAGAGAGGCAGGGATGGGGACTCAATTGCGCGTTTATTACATTTGACGTAATTATTTACTCTTTCGCGTTTTTATTTTCTTTTCTCTTCTCTTCTCTTCTCTTCTCTAAAATGTTTTACGTCACATTAGCAATAACTATTTCTACTTATGTATATACGGTTCTAGGAAATATTTAACTTCATCTTCGTATTCATACACATTCAATGATTTTAGCTGATCGATGATGGCCGTAAAAAAAAATTCATTTACTATTAGTTACATGATACATATTTTTATGTTTTTGTTTTCCATTCTTCTTGTCCGTTCTGATATACATAGATTATTCGAAGCTCTTGTAATAAAAAATTAGAATCGTGTAATGATTGAACGTAATAAATATATGTGGCCGTGAGTAAAATGCTAAAGCACCACGTATATGCTCAAATAATGGAAAAAAAAATAGAAACAATAGAATATCGGTAACGTAGATATGGACGTTAAAAGTGATAAAGCGATGGTAAAAATATTGACTCGTGGTTTTAACATATATATACCTTATAAGAATAAATATCGATCGGTGTAAAACCGCAAGTGTACATTAAAAATATATCTTTTGTGTTTATTTTTTATTATTCAAGACTGGTATAAACACGTGCTTCAATTCCCCTCGCAGTCACGTTGCGTCTTTAGTCCTTTCTCTTTGTTGTGTCGCATCAATCGAGGGTCCCAGGGCTGTATTACAATTAAATATCTCCCTGACCATCCATTATACTTTCTTCCTTTGAATGTTATAAGAAAAATAATAATAATCTTTATTGTTATTATATTATCTAGTAAAAATGCTTAATCTTTCTTTAAATATTTTATTTATATTTCATCTATTTCGCAAATTGAAAATAGGACCCAATGTTATTTGAATTTCTTAATTTCAATTTTGAAGTAAACAAATTATACTTTTTTTAAGTAAAATTACTAATCCTTATTTTGTTGCAATAACATTTCATTGAATCGCAAATTGATAACAGTCTAATGTAAACTGAATTTCGATTCAATGCCAATTATCTTCTGTGTTTATCCTAAATTATATCGTTCGTTTAATTATCTCGCCTTTCATGTATGATGATTGTCAACAAAATCTCGATTTCTTGATTTAAATTTGATTAATTCATTAATAAATCTGTGTGCTTATTTCAATATTTTACGAATAAATATTTTCTTTTTGATATAGAGAAGAAAATAAATGTTGAATAGAACGTTTCGTGATAATGTAAACTTCAGTTACATGCTTTTTGAAGGTTGCGGCGTCGCCTCGTGTTTATTTCACATATCTCATAAATATAATATTGTTTCTAGAATTTAGTTAGTCTTAAATAATCCACAGTTAATATTGACAATTAAATTAGAGTTGTCGTTAAGAGAGCGTGGATAGAAAATAATCTTCGAAATAAAATGAAGGGGTACTTTCACTGCACATGTACACGCAATGAATTAAGAATTTCTCTTTAGAAGTGAGAAATACGTTACACTTTCTTCCATTTTTTTTTATCCAATGTGATGTAAAGTATCGTGATGATCCTAATCGCGTCGGTGTAATCTAAAAAAGAGAGAAAACTTGATTATTCTTTGTGTATTGCGAGTATATAAATAAAAGGAAACTTTCAGGAACTTTTAAGATTTTTATTTGGAACAATATTTGTGAAATATACAAATAACTGTATATTATATAAAATCTATACACACACAATGTATAAAAAGTGTTATCATGAAAATATCGCGTGAGTTATGTTACTTTTATAGACATAAATTAAAAAGTATAAAAGAAAAAGTTGATTGATTTAAAATATATATATACATATATATATCCTTTTAAGTGTATTCGAAATGAATGGTAATGAAATATTGGTTCCGAGTGGACATCGTTGTCCACATCGTGGATTGAAGAAGTATCCTAGTATCGATAAAAAGATATGGGATGCTAGTAGTAAATGGATTCTTCAATGGGATAATATTGTTAAACATCCTGGTGCAAGAGCTAGAGGATGTCATTGCGATATACATAAACCGCCGTGGTTATATCCTGAATTAGGTACATTCATTGTTATCCATAATGTTTCTCGATAACTATCACTAACTATATTCTTTCTAGCTGTTTTAATTCTATCAAATTATAAAATACATATATATTTCTTTTTTGTTGCAGTTGGTAAAGACACAGATGAGCCTGACAGAGCGGTAAATAATAATTATATATATTTAAACCCTTTTTATACTACCATAAATACAATTACTTGATATTTGATGCTTATTGTATACTACCAGTGACTATAGTCACCTAATGTTGTAAACTTTGCAGTATTCTACTGGTGATTATAGTAACCCACTAATATTTTGCTTTGATTTAAAATTATTAAAATTTGAACATCTTAAAATGAATTCTATTCTAATATTTCATAGTCGTATCGAAAGGGTACACTTATAATAGAAATAGAAAGATCTTTTCTACGAATCTAAGGATTTTTCTATATTGCAGATTAAGTCAGCACCTTTGAAAAGAACGGCTGCACCTCTCAAAAGAGGCCAATTTGGCCCAGCGAAGACACCAAGTTCTGCACTAGGTATATACAAGGTTTTTAATATGTTTATTGACCTGCAATAATTGCATATAATTATTATCATAAATAGATAATGTGTTGGTATAACAAAATCAATGCATTCAAAAAAAGTAATACTTTTTTTTATAGTTTGTATTTAAGCTTGTATCATTCTTTATTTACAATGCATTTGCATATTCTATATAATATAATTTTTTTTAGCATATTTAATATATTATTTCCATGTAAATTTTACACTTATTGTAATGTTATTAACAATACATCTTGACATTTATTGATAATTACTTCTAGAACATCTATCATGTATCTTTTTTTTTTTTCACTGGCTTTAATTGATATTTTTACTAAACATATTTTCATACACACATTTATATTGATAAATTTCGATTATTTCATATGTGTCGTAATTTGTCTGTTAACATTATAAAAGTAGCACAATTTCATGCATTTGCTGCACATTTGTGCGCTGGAATATAATATGATCCTTATGCTTATTTATTATTGCATTGCTATTAATCATGATATATTATTTTTTAAAGTTTTGTTATTCAAACATCAATAAAGTATTGATGTTTTGCTAACAAGATTGCTAATAATTTGCTTGCATGACAGCTACGTCCATACATGCAACGGTTCTACGAGCAACAACCGTCAGTAGGTCTATGTCACATAGATCAACATCAGGTATCTACAATTTTTATTGGCAATTACTACTCTAGTATTATATTGTTATCTTTAAATTAAAATATATACACATAACTGCTAGAGTAGTAAATATTGATAAATTATTAAAGTAATAACTTAATAATCATTATATGCAAAAACTTATTTGAATTGAATAAGTTATGTTAGTCTTTTAACTATGTGCATTTTGTCTTTATGGCTTTTATTTATATGTTGTGTGATTGTCTCCACTATTGCATATAAGCACATAAATGTTATAGTAAGATGCTTTTTTTATAATTATAATATAATTCTATTGTTTTATTTTTAAATTTTAATAGAGAGTAATTTTGTCTAATAGCTCTACTTTAAATCTAAATGACGATTTTGTTATTGATAATTTTAATGATCTGTTTTAAAATACATACCTATTAATTTTTATTTTAACTTTATAAAATACTTAGGTCAAGCTGGTGCTGTAGATGAAGAAACATTTTTAACATCGTTTGAGGATGTACCAACGGTTAATTTATTCTCTGCAAAGGATTTGGAAGAACAAATGAAAAATATTAAAGATATTGTTGGAGATGATAAGAAAGACTGGAAACAAAGAACAGAGAGTGTATGCATCTTTTAAATTTATGCTATTGCGCAATTTTATGCCATTATACAAGTTATATATAAATTGTATCCTTACAGATGAAAAAACTTCGAGCAATTGTACTTGCTGGTGGTATGAACTATGAGAATTTTTTGGATTGTCTTAAAAGTATACAGCGACCATTTGAAACTGCATGTACAGATCTTAGGTCACAGGTTGTTAGAGAAGCTTGTATTACTTTGGCATTTCTGAGTCAGCATTTAAAGACCAAGTTTGCCAGTTTCGGAGAAGCAGTTCTTTTGACTCTAATGAACCTCATACAGAATAGTGCCAAGGTAATGATGTTGATACTGTATTTGTGAATAATATATAATTAGTAAATATATGTATAGATAATATATATATAATTTAAAAATAATATTTATATTTTATAATTTAAAAATAGATAAAAAAAAATAAACAAATCCATTAACGCGTTTGTAAATTTTGCTTTCCAAATAGAAAATTCAATCCTGTTAAGTTATTTAGTTGACAATTAATAACATGAAAGAACTAAATTAATATATATCATTATTATATTTGTTACATCATCAGGTCGTGGCAACAGCAGGGGCTGTAGCAGTTAGATTTATCCTTCAAAATACCCATTGCAGTCGATTCATCCCAATCATTACATCTTCGTTAAATAGCAAGAGTAAAGACATTCGTCGGGCTTCATGTGAATATTTAAATTCAATTTTACAAACGTGGCCTACTCAAATGTTGCAAAAACATGTAATGGTGTTGCAAGAGGCTATTAAGAAAGGAATCGCTGATTCTGATTCTGAGGCAAGAGTATTCGCCCGAAAGTAAGTATCGATGATTTATATTTCTCTCAAACAGATTATAATTCTTAGTCGTATCTGTTTAGATCCTATTGGGCTTTTAAAGAACATTTTCCTGAACAAGCAGAGATACTTCTCAACAGTCTTGATGCAACATACAAACGTTCACTAATGTCTCTTAGTAACAGCGGAAGCATCAACAGTTTAAATGTAGTAACACGATCAACGAGCGTTAGTCCAAGAGCGTCAAGACCTGCGTTAAGTGCCACAGGTAGATATTTTAATTAATAATACAAACATGTTGAAAAAAATTAAAAAAAAAGTAAAATTAATTATCGGAGGTTCAATGATTCAAATAAAATCTATATTATTCTTTTTTTCATGCTGCTTTATGTCTCTTCTTTGCATTAAATATACAAAGGTAGTACGGAAAATTTACATCAGACACCAGGCCAACCTCATGGCCCTCTCAGACGTACTCCGTCATTACCTCGTTCATATCGCCAGTCTGGTATCCCAATTCTACAAAGACCCACAGATAATCATTGTAATTGCATCATTGTAATTATTTTATGTTTTATGCAATTTTTCTACGTTACATGTTTCTGCTTAAAATATAGAATTGCAATTACTTTTACGATCATTAGTATTATTGTTAATTTATAGACACTTTGTACTTGGACCCACGTGAAATATTTATATATGTTTATTATAATGTTCATTGTAATGTTATTGATTGTTAACATTCTTTTAGATGCAAAAATTACGTTATTCATGTTTTTACAGATCGAGTCACGCCGGGTGTTAGATCTACTAGTGCGATAGATTTACAAGCTGCCCAAAGAGCTAAAGCAAGATTGACATATGGAAATATGAGTAGATACAAAGCTACTCTTCGTAAGTATTTTAATATTTATTTTATATTATTTTAGAAGATGCGATAGATAGTTAAAATTAGTTATTTAGCTAATTAGTTAGTTGTGTATTTTCTTTTTATTGAATTATTATTATTATGCTGCCTGTGTGTGAAGATAATGATCATAGTCATCAGGGTAAACAAGGTATTATTATTTGTTACCTTCTAGTGTAACATTTGCATATTCTTTTTGTAGACATTTATATTGATATATAGATTGTTCATTTATTTTTGTTAACTCTATTATGTTTGTTGTATAGCAAGACACAGTAAATCTCCTGATACCGCTGCTGTTGCTAGTCCTGAGCGGACACCTAGGACAAGAACGAGGGTAGCAGGAGTTTCACAATCGCAACGTAAGTGTTTTCAAATGATCAAGATTTTCATCATTTTTCAATTATTTTTAATTATTTAATTGTATACACATATGTACTTACTTACACAAATCTGCATATAATTTTATAAGAATTTTATACGTTTTTTTTTTCTATTTTTAATGATAGCCAGCAGTAGGTCAGGCTCACCATCGTCGAGGTTGAGTTATACAACTTATAATCGTGAAGGAGAATCATTAATAGCAAGACCAAGGAAATTATCTGGACATGGTATTCGGAGTACAGGCAATAGTCGTGAACCTAGCCCACAAAGATTTGGAATGGATCGAAGTTTTGGTTCTAAAATGCGGTATGTCTAATATAATAATATTTTATTTAGAGTAATATTTAAGTATTTAAGTATCTGTAATTCTTTAAAAAAAAAACACATTTACTCGGGACTCTTTTCACACGGTAAAGTAGTATCATGTTATAAAAGATGTGAAACAATTAATTTGCAATAAAATATAAAATTCGTAATAAATTAAAGAAAAGGTGAAATTTTAAAAAAAATTTTGCAAATATTTTTTTTTCAAAAAAGAAACTAAAAATTTGAATAAATTAAATTACAAAATAGCATAATAATAACTAGAAATGTATCTTGTAAATTGTGTAAAAGTTAATAACATATGTTAACAAAACCGTGTAACAAGAGTCTTAGATGTATACATATATACATATGTATGGGGTACTTCGACCAAGTCGGCCATTTTTTAGATGGACCCTTTTCAATTCATTTGAAAATATTATATTTTATATTGTTTATCACCTAAAAAATATTGAAGGTGACAACTTAAATTTAAAAAAAAATTATGAATATATATCTTTTGTCAGGATCAATAACATATAGATATAAAATTTATTGCCGAATCGAAAAGGATCATCTTAAAAAGCGATCCGGTTGGTGTAGAATGGCTCTATATATTTATTGTAATAAATACATATATTGTAATAAATTGAAACCATGTGATAATAATATTATATAATTATAATTAATTAGAGGAAGGAGTTTACATATGTCACCAACAGATAGGCCTCAGTCTAGACCAGTTTTGGCACAAAAGATGTTACAGCAATCTCGTGAAGCGGAGTCTGCTTTAGCAGATGCATTTACCTTTGATAGCATTGACAGTTGTTATAATAGAGCTACAAGAGTCAAAAGCGAACATAGCGATGACAGCGAAACTAGCAGTATATGCTCAGAACGCAGTATGGACAGTTTCAGACGACCTAGTGATGTGAGTTTTTGAAGTTTGAAAATCAGTCCTATTATGTTTCTCATTTCAAAATAATTTGAAGTTAAACAAAAATCAATGATAACATTCGACAAAGCATATTCATTGTTAGACCTAGCTTTTCCTTATCAAAACTTCTAGTAGTGAAGCACTTAATGCTTACTGCATGTTACATGTTTTAAGTATGCTTACTATTTCCTTTAAGTTCGCATTTTTTATTTATTTATTAAATACAATATTGCGGGTAAATTTTTGAGCTGTAAATATAAAAGTAATACAGATAATGAATATGCTGTAATTTATAATTGTATTAGTATATGTAAAAATGTAATAGTACGAATTTAAGTAATTTATTGATTGTTATTTGAATAATATTTCATATTTTCATTTTATACATATATATATATATATATTGCTGTAAAATGCTTATGATGCAGTTCTTATCTATATTGTATATATCATTTTTTAATCATTATCATCTGAGGTATTTGTCATACTAACATTATACGTATTAATAGTTGTGGGTACAAAAAGTTTATTATTCTAGTATTAATAGTGGCATATTCTGATTCTATTGGTATATAGATACGTTTCTGAAACGTTATTTTGTATAGAAGTGAAATTAATTTTTATTAACATTTTATAAATAATTTTGATAAAACGTTTTAAATCAAGAGGAATAATAATTTGATAAATGAAAAAAGGGAAATTTTTAATGCAGAGTTGGGCATTCTCCACAATGTAGCTAACGCATGTCTGATTTTTCATTTTCCTTTTTGTTGCGGCGTGTTTGTTTGGTTTGGACTAACGCAATGTGCCATTGTATACTTCGTATCTGTCCATCGTCCATCTACCCATTAGTCGTTCTCATGGAGTGGCTCCCAACAAAGACTGTACCGTGATAACTGGGATCAGTCTATCCCAAAGGTTTGTGAAATTTAGTTTTTCTTGAATTTTCTCACAACTTGCCTTTTTCTTGGATATTTATAACATTTGTATTATAATCATTGCTGACATTAGACATATTTCTTGCATTATACATATCTACACCATCTATTTGACACAGATTTTTTTAATCCTACATATAGTTAAATCAAATATAAGATCATTAGTTAATTATCGATTAATTTATTTTTCTTTGATTTTATTCAATTTTACGTTTTATCATTCATTTAGGTTTTAGATCATTTTCTTCAATCAGTCGATAAATTATAGCAATCAAATATATAAAGTTATTTCTGAATTAATTAATTTAAATATTCAATATGAACATAAGAAAGAATATTTCATAAAACATGTGACATAATAAAATTAAATTCCGTATTACTGTAAAAGTTCTTCTTTTTTAGGATATTAAAGAAATAATAGAAAATTGTGCTCATAAACATTGGGGTGACAGAAAGGAGGGTTTGCTGGGGTTACAACATTTCCTTGCCAATGGACGTACATTGAGTGCAAGTGAATTGCGTAAAGTTACGGATATTTTTACTAAAATGTTTATGGATTCGCATACCAAAGTGTTCAGCTTATTTCTGGATACTTTAAATGAACTAATTACGACACATAATGAAGATCTTAGTGATTGGCTGTACGTTTTATGTGCGAGACTTTTAAACAAATTGGGTACAGATTTATTAGGATCTATTCAAGCTAAAATTCATCGAACATTGGATGTTGTAAGGTAAAATTTATTTCAAATGGACAATTTGTATAAGATTTACATGATAACTTTATTAATATTGTTATTATTATTATTATTATAATTGTATCAAATTTTTGTCTGAATAGAGAATCTTTCCCTGGTGAACAATTATTACCAGCTGTAATGAGATATTTAACCGATCCGACACAAACGCCAAATTCTCGTGTAAAAGTTGCTTCCCTTACATTTGTTACACAAATAGCGGAAACGGCAGAACCTTCTGCACTAAACAATTCTGCAGGAACTGCTCTAGCTAGATTACTTGACTGGACGAGCGATGTAAAAAGTCAAGATGTTAGAAGGCACGCACAGGAAGCGTTTATAGCACTCTACAATTTAAATCCTCCACAAGTTACAATGATTTTAGCGGAATTACCGAAATACTATCAAGTAAGTTATTAAAAGTTCTTTTAGCAAGTTAATTTTTTCAATTGTTCCATTCGCATCATTCAAAAATTTTGAAGTTTTCGGTATTTACATATGAGCAGCATAAGACCCATAAGGGTTAAACGGGAAAAGTCGTTGAAAAACTATCTGACATAGAATGTGTTCATTTGGTTAAAATTATATACTTTATTCATGTCTTTTTTTATATAGGAAGCTGCATTGCCCTTGGTTCAAAATTATTTGAAGTCATCAGGATCGAGTAATCCAGCTTCTCCTGGCACACCACCTCCAAGAGCTCAACATTCTCCTGCTCGTAATAAGAAGAATGATGTTGATACGGCGGATGAAAATTTGGAAGAAGTTTATAAGTAAGATAGTAATAAATGTTAAATAATTACATTTAAAAATAGCATATTCCATTCATATATTTCAAACATTTTAATCTAGAATCTCTTCCTACAGATCGTTGCGACGTACAACAGCGGAAATTCAAAATTATGGATTCGAGCGTTTAGAAAGAGCTACAACAAGCAAAGATAGTGGTATTAGTAATATGGCTGATTTAGAAGAAAGAATAGAAGGTCTAACGTTATCTAATTCGGTAAAAACTATTATCTCTTTCATAAAGATATAAGTTATTTCTTTATTTAATACATTGCGTGACATTAATTTTTCCTGTTGTGATATGTTATTCATATACTTTTCATTCTTATATTTTGCATTAATTAATAATACTCCTAATAATTATATTTATTATTAATGTATTAAAAAATAATAGTTTTATAATATATTTGCCATACTGTTTTAATTTTTGTATGAAAATAAGCTATTTTTAACAAATATTTGTTTTGGCCTCAAGAGAAATATTTACGAATCTCTTAACATGCAATGTATTAATTAAAATTTTTATTTATTGTTTAGTACAACTTTTTTATAAATATTATTATATTTTTTCTTTTTTTTTCCTCTCAGACGATCTTTTGATTTATGCTAAATAGGAAATCACGTAGATCATGGTTAAGCTTTTATAATTGTAATTTTATAATGTATTGAATATATGTCAATAATTACAAATGTTTCTAACTATATGTATGTGTCTGGATGTAGTGGTAATGGGTGGATGTGTTAATGAATGTTCTGTAGTATTTTCCTGTGGTTGATAGTATACTAAGTATTATTTTTAGTTTGTCCTGATTTACTTTTTATTATTTATTATTTATTAATATTTTATTATTATTATTATTATAGTTATCATTATTATTGTTATTATTATTAGGGAAGGTCTTCATCAGTATCATCACCAACACAAAGAGGACGATCTGTTACAAATATAACAGTAAATGGTTCGAGTGATACAATTGCTGGAGATCTTATATTACCTCAAGAAAACAATGGTTATAAAAATCATGGTAAAAACAGAGGATATATAATTGAATAAATGAATATGTATAAAGATTGAATAATTTGAAATATATTTTAAATCATTTTGTTTTAGGATCATCCCCAGATTCCGCCAAAAGACCAGAAATATTAGATAATATGATTAAAACTATACAATCTAAATGTACGCAAACTTCCGAAAAAATAACAGCTTTGCAGAATTTTCAGGCATATGTTCGAGAAGGAGACTCTACATATGTCAAACAAAATTTCAAGTATACTTATTTTTATTATATTTATATTATATTTTTTTGATATTCTTGAATTATCTTTGGATTAACAATTTCTTTTTTCTTTTCTCGTTTTATTAGAAAACTTCTCAAAACATTATTAGATAGGGTAAATAGCGATAGTCAACAGTTACAAATAGAAGTACTTCAAACGTTAATCGAAATGCTCAAATGTCCAGAACTTTTGGAATGTTTCTCTGTTTTTCCTGAATTGTTGGTATTGAAAGTAATCACTGCCCATAAGTTTGATGATCAGAAAGCTGATGGTACTTCTAGCGGAGAGAGTGTTAGAGCGCCGGTAAGAATGTCAGAGGTATTTGTTCGTTTGTAATAATTATTAAATATGCATGTTATATAATTTATAATAAGAAAAAAAGGCACAGGTTCTTCGGACAGCGGAGAAGTGTGCAGCGACAATTGCTACTGTTCTAAGACCAGAACAAATTATTCTTGTTGTATCAACTATAATAACAACAGAACCATATCCCTTAAATATGGGAGCGATTAAAATGCTTCACAAGATAGTTGAACACTGGGGACGTGAAGCTATAGAGCCTCATCTTTCAAAAATTATGCCAGGACTTATTAAGGTAAATTTTTTATTGAAAATATCGTGTAACATTCTAGTAATATATAGAGTATCTTAAATAATCTTTTTTTAATGATATGTAAAATATCATGTATGTAGCCAGGACACAAGATTTAGCATGATTGATTGAACTTCACTTATTTTTCAATATTCGTTTACTTTGATAACATTGAACCGAGTCCGCAGTACATTTGCTTGAAATTTATAGTTGCAAATGTAAATCTTCACATTATATGCCTCAATAAAAAACAAATTATTTGAGACACTCTGTATATTTGTTTTCAATAAAATGTTATACTAATTATTTTTTAGGCATACGACGATGCTGAAAGTACGGTTCGTAAAAGTGCAGTTTTTTGTATGGTAGCAATACATGCAGCGGTTGGGGAAGAAGTTTTAAAACCCCATTTGAGTTCTCTTTATGCAAGTAAATTAAAGCTTTTGTATATTTACATACAACGTGCACAGCAAACGAACAGTCAACCGGCAAGTCCACGAAGCAACAGCAAAAATTAACTAACAACTAATTCTGCGACATTAAGGATCGCAATATTAAGGAGATTCGCGCGCCTAAGTGCAAGACATGAACGAATGTTGGTTAGCTTTCTTAGCAAATCGAGTCCGTGATTGTTGAGAAAGAATCAGTCGTCGGTAATACGAGTACAGTTGTGCCTCCTGACAGTGATGTTACACGAAGGCGAATTTAAAACAAATTTTTTGGAAAGTGAAAAAGATGACATTTTATTATATGTCACACCCATATAAATGAATTTATTCGATCAGACATTAGGCAAACCGTTAATAATTAACTTATTTCTTTTTCTAATATGATATAACACGTCTTTACATTTCACTTCGAATATTAATATTACATAAGTGTAGCGAATCCAATCGCGAATATACAAGCATATTATGTATGTTGGTTTTGAGGTAGGAATGAACCTACGCAACATAAATTAAGTGGGCAGACAGTATGACCTCTTTTTTTTTCTTTATTATTATTATGTTTATTTTTGTGTTTATTTACAAACACGATATTTACTTGAATGAGATCTGACAGAGAACCGATTTCAATGGTATATATCGTTTACGCGTGTATACAGTAATTTTTTATTTAGGGCAGACCTTTTATTATATAACACGCTTTATTCCTTAAATTTAATAGTATATATTACAGACACATCGTATGATCTGTACATTTTGTTATATGATTTACGAAGAATTTCTGAAAATCACGGTTTGTATACTCCTCATTTTCGAGAGATACTAATGATTAGTTTCTATCATCTTTGTAAAATTATTTAGTTTTAAGTAATCTTTGTGTTTTCGTAAATGTTAATATAGATATCTTATTATTTTTCATTAAACAGCGGTATTGCATATATCTGTCTTTTATCCGAATCTTCCATAAAACCTAAATGCAGATCATATTTAGTTGTATATAAAATACATATTGATTATACGACAGACTGATATTAAAAATCGTACTACGTTTGTTTAATTTGATGACCATAGAATCAAATAATTATTATATGCAAAAGATCGCGATAGTAGGGGTCTGGAGTGTGACATGACTGTCAAGAGGGGAGATATATAAATTACTCGACTTCCTTTCTAGATAACGCATAAAGGCAATGCAGGTATCAAGGAAAAAATGTTTGAAAGAGAGAGAGAGAGAGAGAGAGAGAAAGAGAAAGAGAGAGAGAAAGAGAAAGAGAGAGAGAGAGAGAGAGAGAGAGAGAGAGAGAGAAAGAATAAAGTAGAAATTTTAATATGCTTGAGGATCGTAAATAACTATCGTTAGCAATACTGTTTGCACCGTATACAACACAACAGTTACGACATTGTTAATGTCGAAAGGAAAGTAAATAGTTTATTTGTCTGAAATCAATGTGCTAGTCAGATTTCCAAGGACGCACAATGATGCAAAAGAACACAAACGAAGTTTCTGAGTAACAGAAAATGATGATACGTATAAAATTGCATGTGAGAGATATGTTGTTGAAGGAAAAGAATGAGAGAGAAAGAGTGAATGAACGAATTACGTGTAACAATAACAGAAAACAAAAAAAAAATACTGAGAATAAGACTATAGAGGTTTTTTCGATAATCCAATGTGCTCTAGTATAATGTTACTTATTATTATTATTATTATTTTTATTTTTATTTTTATTATTATTACTATTATTATTAATTATCCATCGCGTTGCCAATATTTGAATGAACGCTAAATCAAAGCTAACATTTAACAAGTTTAGTAAAGTTTCGTGCCATTGTTGTTTATTTTTTTTTTTTTTTTATTGTATGAAAATAAAATGATAATATACACGGCGTGAATAATGATATATGTTTTAATGCGCATGTACATATAAACAAATACACATGCATAGATATTATGCGTATGCATTGACAATGCGTGCGTCTCTTGCGACGTAGGTCGATCTTTATTTTTTTCTTATTAATTTTATCATCATTAGCAAAGAGATAGCAAAGAGTATCGTCGAAAGTCGTCGAGATGGTAATTGTTAAAAATAATGTTTTGTCTTTTTCTTTTCACCTAGCACTGTGTTTCTGTTTCTATTATTATTTTCTCTTTTTAATTTTCTTCTTATTTATAATAAAATCATCATTGCGCCTTTGCTTCTCGTATGTAAGAAAAAATATAAAAGAAAAAAGAGCGTAAATAAGAAATAAAAAGAAAAAAACAAATAAATAAATAAATAAACATAAATGAAATAATTCGAGCGTACAGAAACGTTATTGTAATAGTAATGATAATATCAGCGTCTATAAAAGAATAGGTTCTTTCTTTCTGGCGTTTTAATAATTATGATTAATAACACGTTTCACAAGGCAGTTAACAGAGCCAAATCGTGCCAAACATATCCAGATGAAAAACGGTATAAAAATTAATCAAGAGAAGAAAAAAAATACGCGTAAACGTTTCATGTGTACTACGAATAATAGCATTTTATTTTCTAATATCAGTTAGTTTCTGCTTTTGGAAACATAACATAAAAGATATGCTTGGTTGATATGTTATAGTTGCCTTTCGATATCGCTTGAGGTTTTTTTTTTTATTTAGAGAGATTTGCGGTTCATTACGATAACGTTCAATCATATATATATAAATAAGTACATACGTATACATACGAGCGTATGTTTTATTGATGCTGAAAATAAATTCATCAAGAATCATACGATAGATCATATAATGACATAGAATGTTTTTTTCTTTTTTATTATTATTTTCTTATTCTTCAATTCGAGCCAATTAGCCCAAGTTTAATGTTATGTTTTCATTCTTTTTTCTTGATTTTGATTATTTTTTTTCTTTTCTTTTTAAACATTAGACGCAAAGGCATTACCGTTATTTCAATGAATAATATCGCAATAAAGATCTCAAAAATTAATTCGTTAAGAGATCAATTATAATAGAAATTGTAGTTTTTCGAATTCATCCTCTCAAAAAGATTTTTGTTTCTTAAAATTTTTTAATTCTCATATCGTTGATGTCCATATTCACTTACTCGCTCATTCATTCATTTGTCGAATCATTCATTCATTCATTCATTCGTTCATCCATCATTCGAATTAAATAAAAAGCATCACATTTAAATAGACGCGACGACGGTACGGTCTGTATCGGTCATGTATATATGTATACATATAGTATTAAACATAATGTACAACCTACACATTATCTAGTATTTAAGTGAGAGCAATTAAGAGAGTATACATCGTCACTGCCTCCAGCGTTTGGTCGCGCCGACCGTGATTTTGCGTTTTTCTTAATAAGTTCTCTAACTTGCTTTAATGTTTTTTTTTTTTTTTCAAAAGAAACGATACAAATTCAAGAAACAAAGAACAAATATCGAGAGTTTCAAGAAATAATTTTTCATATTTTTCATCTTTTTCCTTTTTTTTTTTTTTATAAATATGATATAAAATGTTTTTTTTACTATCAGTTATAAAACAATAAGTAAATTATTTGTGTTTATGAATTATTTATATATATATAAAAGAAAGGAAAGACAAGCACTGATTTGATTTACTCCTGTTACTTTGATATATGTATGTATATATATTATATAAATACATATATATATATATACATACATATATATATATATACATACACATAAATATATATATATATATATATACATACATAGTTTTTTTTTGTTTCTTTTACATAGAACAATCTTAATAAGTTTTACGAAATTAATAAAGAAATCACACATGCGTCTTTAAATGTTATGTTTCGAATAGTTTATTAGATTAATTTAATCAAGCATTATAATTAAACAAGAGTGAAACCTAGCGCGAATCACAAAACGAGACGTTGAAAATGTTCAATAAATCCGTAATGATAATGTAATAATTATTAAGTGCGATTTTGCTGGAGGTTTTTAAATAAGGATTAACGTTAAATTAACAACTGATATTTATGTTAATTCCTGATGGTGGTGTGGCTAACGATTCTGTTCTAACGATTCTAATGCTTACATTATTCTTACCTTATCCGACAAAAAAAAGTAACTTATTTGTATTGTAATAAATGAATGTTAAATATTTACACGCTTCTATAATACAAATCAGTGACCGGTATAAGTGCTAGATTATTATCGTATCGTAAAGCTCTACATGCTGTTTGTTGCTTGAAAATATTTATCGAAGACATAATATTTCTTTGTATACTTTATTCTATTCTACATTAACCCTCTATAGTCCAAATTTATTTCACGATTATAAATAAACAAATTTATATCACTTGAAATCAAATCTTATTAATTATAATGTTAAATACGAAATAATAAATGTATCATTTTCAAACATACTAAAATTCATTCCAATATTTCAAGCTTAGGTTGTGGTAATCGTTATAAAAATTGTTCTTATTAATTATCAAATAGTTATTTTAAAACAATATCTGTACGCCATACTGGGGAAGAAAATCAGATTAATAACAAAAAATGAGAAGCGTGTGGAACCTACACGTGATTGAAATGAAATTTTGTAAGTTTACTCTGCCGTCTGTAACAAGTTTTGTTAGATCAATATTTTCCCGTTTTATCCTATAACTCAAATAAAGCGGTCCCTTTAAAACCTTTCACTTTTCGTGTTGTTTATAAATTTTGGGTACTTTCTCCAAAAAAAGTTTCATTTCAAAAACAATTTCGATTTATTCTTATGTATGTGTCTTCAAAGTCGGACGTGATTACAGAGGGTTAATATATATTCAATCTCGAGAGATTCATGCGTAATTTTTATTGGCATATAAAAAAAAGAACAATGAGATCGATCGATCGGAAATTGTCATGTACTATCAATCGGCTGTTTAAATATCAACGATCGAAGTTTGTTTGTTTGTTTTTTTGTATTGTAAGATGCAAGAAAGAAAAAGAATAAGAAGAAAAAAAAAGAAAACAAAAATGAAAAATGTAAATCGTTAATCAGTGGTATTATACGATAATATATGTTGTACAAAAGTTCGACTCGTTTGATAGTTAGAACTTTCGAGAATAATTTAAAATTTGGCTGAGAAATTCGAATATAATACATTTATTCGAAAATTATCACGAAATTTTTAAATTATTCAGTTCGCGTTAGAATTAAATTGAGCTAATTTTATTCCAAATCGATCTAATAGTTTAATTACATAAATTATAAAACAAAATTCTAAAGCAAGGCTTGTTAACAAAATTATGCCGTAAGTTAATTTTGAAAAAGTTTACATCGACGAATGAGTAAATAATCAATGTTATTTATTAATGCAATTCTACTTAGCAGACGCCCATAAATATTTCATCATTATTACTTGCATACAAATTTGCAGAATGAGTCTCGAAGTCGTTAAAATTTTGTAAAAATATTTGTTTTAATTTCTTCTCTCCCCTCGTCCCCTTCTACTTTTATTTTCATTTCGAATGTATAAATCTTTTCCTTTTTCATTCCCTTCGAGACACTTTCGTTTTAATATCGGCAGTAACGTAATGTTCATTTATGTTATAACGTGTATATTGTCTAACGTTTCCTTTTTAAAGGAAAATCTCTCTGTCCATTTTCTTCCTCTTTATAATTATATTATGAAAATCGCGAATGGGATAAGAGTTTCGACATAGATCAAAGTGACACTGAAAAGAACATATGAGAGCTTCTGGAATAATGATAATGATAACAATGATTAAAATATAATTATAATGATGTACGCATAATCAAGTTGTCAAGGATGATGATTTTTTCACGCTGACAAAAATGTATTACTGTAAATTACTACTACGATGATATTAATTGTACTGTTATTGTAATTGCTAACTTGACATAATAAAGTATTGCGATAAAAGAATGTTTTTTTGTTCTCTCGACACGTATGAGTAAAGTCAATAACTCATTTGTTAAATTGATTAATTCAACAAAACGAAATATAGAGAAAATTGATAAAATAATTATACATCTATTATTGAACTAATATACAAATTGTCGGTGGTTTTAAGACTAATAATTAAGAACATTTATTTTTTAATTTATATTCTTTCAAAATAATTGAATTTACGCGTTTATTATTTAATTAATTAAAATAAATTTTTAAGTCTAATTAATAAAGAAGTTTATTTTAAATATAAAAATTTAAAAACATAACAGAGTAGAGTTAATAACTTCAGTCTTTGAACGATTTATACTTATTAAGAATTAATAATATAAAGAAATTATATAAAAAACATTCCTATCGAATGAATTGTAAGTGATATTTTAATTGCGTAAGTATTTTATTCAAATATTCAATACGTGATTTTACATTCATATTTATTCTGACATTGTCCCCTTTATGCTGAATGATAATGTATAAAAATCTTACTTAAATAATCGTAATAAATAGGAATAAAAAAAATTAATTCAGTACTGAGAGATTCTTTTTTAATTATATATTTATTTTCTTATTCTCTTAAAAACTTGGCTCTTCATCACTATACTAATAATGATTGCATTCATTATTTAAACAAAAAGAATATGTAATGTTTTACATATGTATATCTATATATACAAACATACTTGCATACGTTTCATTCGTACTCGAATAAAAAAAGAAGAAAAAAAAGTATAACTTGAGATATCAAGTAATATTATTCATAACATATCATAATACGTCACATGTGTTTTATTATATATTTAACATTATTTAGCCTCTTGCCCTATGATTTGAATTCCAATGATACATGCCATAATCATTAATAAGTTCACGTCATAAGTTGAGCCATTTCGGATAGGCATTTGAGGTTGTAACAATTGCAAACGTCTTATGACATGTTAACATAAATCATAGCAACAAATCACGAGTCTGGAATGTGTTGTTTATGTTTGACCTGATCGACGTAGCGTGCCTTTCACCCATGATATTAATATTTGGTCCATTATCTTTATTACAAAGTTTTACGTGATGTTGTAGGGCAAGGGGTTTGTAGTCTTCAGAAATTAATAAAAAGAAAGAATACATAAATCAGATCAATGAGTAATATTATATCATTTCATTAAAAAATATTTTAGATACGAATTAAGGCACTGTTCACAAAGTTATTTATATCGTATAAATTTTTCCAAAATTCATGACTTCTCTTTCCCTCTTTATCATATTTATTACAAAAATTAATAATTACGTAGCATTTCTTTTTTTTTTAATACTGTTTTTTTATCTTTTTTCTTGATTTCATACACACACATATTAAATCATCCCCCACTTTCTGTATTTGTATACTTTTTCATGTTTCTATGGGCTATTCTTGTCATTGTTGAACTAAATTGATAATATCATGTCAACATATACATTTCATCATAATTTTTCGTGGTTATCTTTGAAATTGATTGCGCGAAATTTGATTAACTGATTATTCGATTTTTAAGATAATAATAATAATTATTATTATTATATATAATGATATATATGATATATATATCCTGTTTGTCGGTTTTTAAACTCTTTTTCAACTTCCATATATAAAGTAATAAAAATAAAACTAATAGAACGTAATAGAAATAAACTATTACGTTCTAATCGCATTTAACTGAATTGTAACACTTTTTTCTAAGTACATGTTAGATGTTTCTTGTTCGTAATTTATAAAAATGGCAAATATAAATCTCGGTTATCTTCCTGAATTTCTATTGTTATTATTATACAGTTTGTATACCTACATGTGAGATACGTAAGTATGTGCTTATATCTATACATACATACATACCTACATACCTAAACACATATCTAAATATTTATGATTTGAAGATAAAATAATAAGTATAATAAATCATTACGATTAATTGAAAGTACGAAGAAATGAACTAAAATTAAACATTCGGTACAGTTTTTGGATTGAGCGGTTCACTCGCAGCCATGTTCGTATTTCGTTGTGATGATCTATTCTGCCTACGTTTCTTCTTTGATTTCGAATTAGTAAAACTAATTGCTAGGAAATGATTGTGGAAATATTCTTCGATCTCCGACAATTTTTTACCATGTGTCTCAGGTAGCATCAATAAAACGAAAAACGTAGATGCCAAGGAAACAGCCGCGAAGAACCATTGACCGGCGTAAGAACCTAGAAACATTTGTTACTTTTTGAATCCGTCGCGAATTAGTTATTTTATTAAATTGTCACATTTATTCATCCAGTTTTTAGGAAAAAAAAATTGTTTTTTGAAAAAACAAATGAAGAAAAAAAAATCGGATAAATATTTTTATGTTAAAATAAAAAATTATCATACCTCCTAAAAAGTCTTGGAGACTTCGGTAACTTTGAAGTGCAGCAAACATAAGTAAATTGGCCATGGAGTAACTAATGGAATGAGCGATTCCTCGAATCTCTGTTGGGAATAATTCGGCGGTCATGGTCCAGGGTATAGTCAACATACCAACCATAGACGTGCAGACGTAAAGTAAAAGACATACGATTGGTACCTGAAATATAGTTCGGCTTAATAAGTGATATTAGATATTTTAAATATGTACAATACAAGCATCGTTCGTTACAAATTCCAATAATGTATATCAGTAATTTTTAAACTGTATTCCGCGGATTTTATAATAATTTGATGTAGCAACAAAATAGTACCATAGTTTTCATAGAAATAAGAATTAAAATATATATTTAATTTTTCATAATATATACTCTAATTACAACTTCTTTTATTATTAATAAAATTCCGACATTATTTATTAACTAATTTAATAGTAAACATTAACGTAAATATGTAATAAATTTGGATAAATCTATCTCACGATAATGACTTAGAAATATTATTAAATAACTTTATAAAAAAAGGACTCACCCAATAACCGCTTCGATCACCCTCATGAATACGTAAAGTGAAATAACCGGAGATAGTCATACACAGTGCCATTCCCAACGAAGAAATTATACACAAAGGTCTTCTTTTGAATCGTCGAAGAAGCCAAGTATTTACCATAGAGCACAAAAACCGCGTTAGGCCTACCAGGATCGAAGATAGATATTCATCTACACCAGCACCAACATCCTAGAGTTTAATGTAGTGTATTAATGATAACCTTTCTATTTTATAGTATATTTCTAAAAAAATTACCGTTAAATCTTATATTAATAATGTTGGAGAATTATGCCATATTAATGTTGAATGTAATTTAATAGAGGATTTAACTAATTTGTTAACAATATTTACTTAATACTTTAGTTGGTACAATATTTTGACTAATAAATTTTTTTTGAAATAAATAATGCGTCTCTTTTCGGAACATTTTACATAATAAATCCGATATTTTCAAGATTTTCTTATAGTTCGTTTTATTTAGATTCAGATGAACAAGAAATTTTTTTTTAATTCTCAGTTCAACTTACCTGAAACCATGTGACAGCATAAAAGAGGGTAATATAAATTCCTGAAAACTGTTGGAACAAGAAGAACAAAAATAGTATAGTCATGGGCTTCCATCCGGTAGGTTTAAGAAAACTACGTAATTTAGTAAAAGCGTTTCCGTGTTTACTTCTTCGTTGTTCGCTCAATTTGATTTCATTTTCTTTCATGATCATTGCGAACTGTGCTTCTGCGAGCGAGACGGTACCTTGTTTCTCATCGGATTTGTACAACCTGAATTTTAAGGATAATGAGAGGTTTTAATTAAACTTGATGAAATATCATAGTTATGGTTATTATCTATATTGATCGTTTTTCTTTCTTACCATTCTAAAGATTTTCTCGCATCATCGACTCGTCCCCTTGAAACGAGCCAAACCGGTGATTCCGGGACAAAGAATTGAATTAAAATGATTGGAACAACCGCGTAAATGATGCTCAGCCAAGCGACTAGACGCCAATGTAAATAAGCACCTTTCAAATATGCTAGAAGCATACCGAAGGAAGCAAGAGTTGGTCCGAAAGATATCATCGAGCCTCTTAATTCTGGCCTCGCTACTTCTGTTATATAAACTATCGCAGGTGAGCTACCCATTGCTGAAGAGATCCCTGTTAATAGTCTACCGACTAGAAGCATTGATAAATTCGACGAGGAAGCTATCAAAGCCCAGCCTATAATACAAGGAATAGCACCGATTTGCAATGTTTTTAACCTTCCAATCATTTCCATTAAAAAACCACTTAAAGTGGCACCGACCGGTACGCATAATACCACCACGCTAGCTGTAACAAATTAAACAAAAATGGGATAAGTTTCTTCGATAGATTCTCAATAGACTTTTATTTGCTGCTTTTGTTAGAATGTTTAGCTAGCGAGTGGCTCAAGGGGAATATCCGGAACGTTATTACTTCTCGATATAAAAAAGCAGAAGCAACAGGTCAGTCGTCACACTGTCGGAGCTCTAATTTAATCCGCAATAAGACGTTACTAAATAGGCTCGACTCGACTACTTAACGTCTTATTTCTTCTCCATCACCCCTCTCACCTTCACCCAGTTCTCTCTTATCACGTTTTTTTTTTTATTTTAATCTTTTCAATATATCAATGTTCTTTTTTATTTTCTTTTTTCTAGTTTGTACTTTAACCTTCGATTTAGAGTCTCTTACCTATCCAAGCAGTCTCCTTCTTCGTTGCTGGTATTTCCGCGTCTTTAGCCTCAAGGTGTGGTACGAGAATTGCCGAGTACGCCATACTGAGACCCAATGCTATGTGGAAAGTCGCTGAGATGATGCATGCCGAGATCTAAATCGATCAGAAGTTTATTTAATAACGATACGATATTGTCCATGATCTTACATTCACGATATTTTGTATACCGGATGCATCATTTAAATAGGAATATTTGAATGATTTTTATTGAAATTTATAGTTGCACTACTATAATACTTCTTGTACAGAGAAATATAAGTAAAAGGATAGAAAAATTTGTCTTATAAAATTCAATGTTATAACTTATAATTATTTATTAATATTATAGGTGTAAAAATAATGTTGGTACTCTTTTTAAAAATTAATTCAACAAATAAATTTTCTCTCAATTCTTCCTATTTAAATTTAGGTAATTCATTTATATATGTTTATATGTATTTACCTCGCGGAAAGCATTTTTAAGATTCGTCGATTCGACGAAATTCTTATTGAGACTCCGACAGGATACGATTGCATCTTTGAAACATTCTCTTTCATTTTCCTCGATGTTCTTCGATGCTTCGCGTTCGACACTGTAAGAATATTATTTTTTTTCTATTTTTTTTTTTTTTTATATCTTTCAAAGCCACATTCTTGAGAATTATTTATTACTGTGATTCTTCGGAAACAAGCAGGTATTATCTATGTGGTATGGAATTGCATTCGCTTTGAAAAAGATTGCTCTCTAGTTTGTGCTACATATATTACTAGAAATGTCAATGTGTTCCTAATTACATAAATACTTAACGATAAATGTTCTACTAGTTCTAATGAATTTGTATTATGAGCGTGAAAAATTCTAATGTTCCTTATGCTAGTTAAAGAAGATTCTTTAAACTATTTATATCAGTTACGTGGATTGAATCTTATAAAATACTACTATCTGTCAAAACGTGTTAAACAAGTAATTCTTTAAGTTCAGATCTGTTGATCAAAGTATAAGAGAATCTTAGAATTTAAAATCCAACGATTCATTACAATTAATGAATTTAACTATTATTTCCATATCCTAGGCTGATTCTATGTCAAGTTACAAAGTCAAATCGATTGTTTTCAAACGATTGCCTTTCGTAACTAACAAGTGACATTAATGGACGACTTGGCATCTGTTCTTTACAACCTCATATTCGAGTCTATTCGATTCGAGAACGCATGTATAATACATATATGTATATCTGTATACATAAATACACATAACAATAAATATCATAAAGCTCAAGGCAATTATTATTTCCATTTAACTAGTTTCATATGAAGAAGTACATCTTTTAAAAGGATTACACCAGCTCAAGTATTTCGAAGGATTATCTTTTCTCACGCTCATCCTGTAGCAATTAACGGCTTGCAAAACGCGTGTGAAAGTAAGTCGATGAATCGACTAAATCAGTCAATGTTGGCTAGACAGCGCGTTTTCGTTTGATTACGATGACGATGACGACAACGACGACGATAAAGATAACGATCTACTATGGTGATAATGGTGATGATGAAATAACGATGAAACATTTATACGATCGTGAATTACTTGCTACATACATAAAGTAACATGTACTTGTTTATTATCTATTATTTGATTGTACCGACAGTGCATTCAGGACAATCCACAAATACTACTACAATGTTATGAGATTCTGAACAATTATGGATAAATGCTCAGTCATGCTGGTTTCATATGTTTTGCTTATTTATTTATTTTTTTTTTTTCATTTTTTGTTGTCATTAAGAAAAGGGGTACTACCTACATATTGTCGCACGCCATTCCGTAGCATTCATTGATATAATCCACACTCTCTCTTTTTCGCATTGAGAGTCGCAATCGCACTGTTATTATCTTCCTTTCTCATCCATGGACAGCCATATTACTTATAGGATTCATACTATAGACAGCCCCGATAGCAGTTTCACGACACCCTGATATCTTGCATCTTTTAGTGATCAACGCTGCCATCATCATCACCACCACCACCACCACCACCACCCATCATCCTTCTTTTCGTCAGAGAAAATCTATTTTTATTCTTTTGCCAAGGTTCTTCTGACGCTGATTTTGGCGTTTCCGTGCTTCACTATTTTTACTCTTACTCTTTCTTATTGGTTTGTTAATGTTTCTGATTCGAGCGAAGGTTATAACTAATTTTTTGAAAAATGGAAATGGAAACAAAAATAGAGAGAGACAGTGTGAGTAAGAAAGTATTTAAATAGGTAAAAAGTTTGAAATAATTTTAATATTCAATCAATTTCAAAATATGAAATCATTTAATAATTGTTAAAATTCATTTAAATTAATATTAAATATTTGTTGTTTTGTGTGTGTATTTGTGTTTGCAAATATTTGAAATATTCAAAATAGTTATTAGGTCATGCAAAGATATTTTAAACGCGTGTAACAAATTTCACTATTGTTAAATAAATTTTGATCTATATTTTATAAATCTTATTTAACTTACTATAATAATAAAGCATCGAAAATGTATTTTTGGGTTATGTTTTTATCAAGTGATTAATTCGAAAAGAAATTTAAAAAATTCAAAATTAAAATACGTTTCAATTGAAATAATAAACATTTAAATGTGCAAAATCAATTTCAGAATCTATTAATAAATAAGTATATTATTTTCAGTATGTTCAAAAATTTTATTTAATTTTATTTTATTTAAGATAGTTAACCGTTTGAGTTCCACGCGACGGTTTCGCATTTTTCAAATTTCATGTCGAAAAATCCCTGTTCTTTTGAATGATACGAACAACTAACGATGCACTCATAATCTGACAAAAAGCGCTCAACTCTTTAAACGCATGTTTATTATTGGTACTTTTTATCAAAACATATTAGATAAATTATTTTTTTACATTATACGCAAATTAGATGAGTTCTTTCTCTCTTAAAGTAGATTAAAAGAAGCTCTATCGCGCCACTTTGTCTTTTCGCGTTTTATTCAGAAAACTATATTGCGCAGCTGTTTGCCATTTTACGATCGTGTTTTTTTTTTTAAATCTCTGGTACTCAAACGGTTAAACATTTAAAAAGAAGTTAGAAGTTACAATAAAAAATTGTTTCTAATTCATTCTTGTAACTACTGTACAGAATGCTTCAAACTTTTGATCAGAGGTGTACAAGCTGACTCGTACCGTTGACATTTCACGTTTCTCTACGATCCGCTAACGTTTCAACGTTCTCGATGCTTACTTTGTCTGTCCGTGTAGAACGTTAAAGAAGTATGTAGTATAAAGTGTAATACATCATTCGGACTAATATCTTTGAACGTGCAATATTCATTCGTTTGTTCTATATAAACAAAAAAGTAATTATAGTTATAGTTCTTCGCGTGGTATATAGAGTGGGTCTAAAGTTTCGACGCTTGAATTATTAAATAGCTTACAATGTAAAAAAACATAAGGCTTATCAATTTTTCGAATCTTTAAAATAATTTAAGAATTTTTGACTCAACCTAAACTCTACTATCAAATTTAACTTTTGTTGAATATTGACGTAACCATTAATCACGAGCGATGAACTCACCACTCTTCGTTAAAATGAAAAAAAAGTGCTCCTTTTTAAATATCTAATTTCCTGTTTTGTGCTTCTAATTTTTTTTGTATACTCTTTTTCATGCTAGTCAAGCGTACTATATTTAGTATCTCGAATATGTAGAAAATGATTTGACATATTTTAGTAATCTTTTTTTTTCCATATGATCATAGACTTTAATTCATACAATCAAACATATTATACATATGTATGATAGAATGTTGATTATAATCAACGATTTATGCTTATCCTCTTTGATACCATCATCGACTTATTTATTTAATAGTTTTAAGTATTCATATATACATATATATTTTTTATTTATTATATATTTTATGCAAATAAATAATACTTTATTAGAAGACACATGTGTTACACGAAAATATTTTGTTAATAATTATCAAGAGGTTAACAAATATTATTTGCATTACTTCAAGTTATCAAGTTATAAAAATAGAAGAATGTTTAAAACAACAACAAAAGTCATTAGTAGTAGTCATTAGGTAGACTTCGATTATCTAATCATTTATACATAAATGACACTCCAATAGTAAAAAATAAAAAATATGATCAGGTAAAAACAAATATAATATATTATTATTCGTACTAATGAGATAAAAAAATGAAAAAGAAAATTCATTCATAAAATTCATTTATACAAACAATGTCTTCAAATTGATCATACAAAAGAAATCATATTTATTAAATAATAAAAATTCTGTTATTTAAGAGAACATGTTTCTTTATGAAGTTCTTTTTTTGGAAGGTGGATAGTTTGCCATATTTTAATCATTTTGTAAAATAATATTGTATAATATATTCAACATATCTCGGAATTACTTATGCTTACGTTTCGAAATGACTAACGAGCACGACGTTACGTCATAGATATTTTGAATTTGAAGTAGTATAGAGGATAAAAAAAAATTATAATCGGTTTCTTGCAGTATTCAATATTATTCGAAGCATATTATCTTTGTGTTCGTTTTATTATTTTAACCTCTGTATATGTGTGTGTGTGTGTGTGTGTGTGTGTGTGTGTGTATGTGCGTGATTAAAAATTATATTAAATTATATACATAGAAATCTCACTATGATTTTCCTATATTATTTATTTAAAAAAGACGAATATAATTCACGCTCAATACTATTAAATATTGAATTTCTTTAAATATTACATCTTACTCGTTTCTTTTGTGTTAAATAATTAATGAAAAACAATATACAATTATTAGATATTTATTATTAATGCGTTAATGCATAGTCTATTAAAAAATACACATGCATTCGAGAAATAAATGAAATAATAGAATTACACGAGAAAATATAAATAAATAGATATATGTCATCAGAAGATATTTACACTCCAAAATATATATATATGTGTGTGTGTGTGTGTGTGTTAATATTTATATTTATTTTGTTTAAAATAAATTAATACAAGAGTCTCCAAATTTAAAAATATTTCCAAAATTAATACTGTTATAACAACTAAATAATAATTTAAGAAATTTCACAACGATATATCTGTTTGTTTTCTTCCGCATAGTTACTTTCAATTACTATATTTTAAAATATAGCTATTTATGTCACATTGATATATTAATTTTAATCCAATTATGTAAATAATTTTGAAAAATTCTGAAGATTATTGATTCCAGTCAACTGTACATTTTTACTGTTTTCTTTGTTCAATGAAAGTAAGCGAATAAGTAAATATAATACTCACATCAGTTACTCAAGAATCGAGAAACACATGCATATATATATATATATTTGAATGACTGATTAGTGTGGGAAGAATCCGACTTATGTAAGCAAATCTGTTTACTTCCTTTTCTTTCGACAATATCATAATGCAACATGACTATAAAACTATATTGATATATTAGCTAAAGTTAATATTTATGTATACATAGGTAAAATTAATGATGTATACAAATGTGTATATATATTAGTTATGTAAAATATCAGATAAGATTATCAGTAAAATAATATTATATTTTTATCGGTCGTATCAGATAATTAATTTATCGCTAACGTGATTCATATCCATTATCATAATAAATAAGTATAAGATAAAAAAGAAAGGAATGAGAAAAGAAAGGATGACAAAATAAATTTAACTTGCAACAGAGATAATAATGATATTCGGAAAAATTCAATAAAAAAAAAGAAAGGATTTTTTTTTAAGGAAAAAAAAGCGAATAAATAAAGAATGCAATAGACGTGATCATTGCACATAAATATACTGATAAAAAAGTTTACTGAGATGCACGTATGTTTACATGAAAAATTATTTTGATTGTTGTTCTTTTTATAAATGCTTAGTATTAAACGATACTACTTTTTCGGACGGTTTATACATTTATATTTAATTTAGAAATTAAAGATAGTTATTTAAAGGTTATATGTTAATTTTATATAATCCTTACAATTTTATTCTTGACTATAAAGAGACTTACATAACTTGAAACCAACGAATATTTACCATTGAATAAAAACTACAATAACATACAAATTAACAATAAATGAACAATCTTTTAGGATACTCAATTTATTATAATATTTTAAACTAGAATCGATAATTGTTAAACAAAAATCTTGTATCGATTACCGAATTATGATTATACAAAAAAATATTTGTACGCCATATTTGAACAAAAAAATCTATTTAAATATAAGAAAAATATCGATATCGATAAATAATTCCTAAATAAGACTGAACTATAAAAGTTTAGTAATTCCTGTCAGGTTTATTTATATGTAGTCGTCGAATCATTTGCAAATATCACATTGTAATAGGACAAGGACATGCTTTCGAAAAAAATACTGTTATATGTACATCCTATTGCGTGATCGAAAATCGAAATGAGTATTTTTTTCAATACGATCAAGGAATAAAATATTTGACATGTTTATTTTCTTGGCTGTTCGATATCTCTTAAAATCTATTAAAATGTCTCGGGATGTACAATGAGAGCTTTTAAAGTATTTAGATGACTCGTTTATTTGAATGTTTTTATCACAAGAGTTATCACTAACTATTATGTCAAATGTTGTCACAAACTTCAATACTAAGTGTTAATTGTTAGATGAGAAATGTAAGATAAATGCTTATGTAAATATACATTTTTTGCAAATATAAAATTACAATTTTATTAAAGAAAAAAAAAATAAAACCGAAATATCAATTAAAAGAAAATTATCAGTTATTTTAATTGTCCATTTCATTTGTGTTTTCATATCTATTTTTTTTAATTTAAATAAAAGTTGTGTACAAACAAACATTAATCATACTTATATGTTCTTCGTTACACTTACCTTAATGAATATGGATCCATGTTTGTCCTTTTTAGGAAATTAATTTGCTAATGAATAACTTGTTCACGAATAGCCTCCTTCTAGAATTACACGTGTAGAAGTAAGTTACTCTACTATATAGTAGAGTACAATATATAATAAATCCTTATGAACGGAATATGCCTTCTGCCAAGACCATTTTATTCACTGAAACAATCATATTTATTATAATTATAAATTAACTAAAAAAAAAAGAAAGAAAAATGATGTTATTTATTGGCCGTGAAAAATAATTTTATGGAAAACTTTCAACTTGGAAAATATCGGGATGAGTGCTAAATGAACAACTTTCTTTTGCTTTCTCTGTTTAATTTGAAGGAAAACAAAGTCTTGAAATAAAAATATTATTATTTCTAATTTCTAATTATTTCTAATACTATTTCAGGTTCGAAATGCAAAAGTGTTTGTAACAAAAATTATATATATATTTTTATCTTTATATAAAATATTGTATTTGTAACAGTAGAAAATAATAAGGAAACACTTTAAGTGTTCTGATCTAAAAGAATAAGGTTGATATTAAAATGTTTTATAAAGAAATAAATGAAAAATATAATAATATGTCCCCATTAAAATTATATGACATTGCATTAAAATCACCATATGTTTTACGTCAAGGAATTCGATGCAAGATGGACTAAAGTCATAAAAAATAATGAAGAATATTAGAAATAACATAATTTTAAAAAATAACAGATGCATGATTACTTTATAAATAAATGCTAAATTTGTTTAAAAGGCACCGAATTAATTATTACATCTACTAGATAATATTGTTAAAAAATTATGAACTTAATAATTTCAGTTCGGTATATTGACTTTAAGAACGCTTTGTAAAATATAACTGTCAGTAAAATATATTAGTATTTTAATGAACAAGTGTAATATAGGAAGAAAGGGGGTAATGACGTGAATAAATCAAAGTCCTATTGTACATCTCGACTCAACTTGAATGTTTGTTAATCAATTAACTGTAATTGATGAGTATACTCAATATGAACAAATGACAAGAATTTATGTTATCAATTCATTTTTGCAATAGAATTTAAGTACAAATTTATTAAAAAAATTATCAAAAAATATAAAACAACAGATAATCGAGAATCTGATTAAACAAGGCTTCGGTTAAATCTTACAGTATTTGAACCAAATTCGTAAAAATAAATAAATTTAAAATAAGTAAAAAAAATAAAGAAGGTAATTAATGTTTAAACAATGCAGATTTTATATTTATTCCTTAGATTATTATGACTTGAAAGCTACATAGCGTTTATTAAAATGAATATGTAGCATAAAACTTGTCGTTTTACCTATTGAAGAAAACGTTTTCTTACGTTTAAAGTCTTTTCAATGCTGCCTATATGCCAATGTAATTGTAAGTTAGAAATTCCCTTCTAACGATTAAATTCTGGAGCAGTCTAGCAATATTTCCTCTACCTCATAATGTCGATTCTAACATCCAGTAAGAAAGTATAATGTAAGAAAATAGATCGAATTTCCGTGTATATCATAATTTATTTGGCATGCAATTGAAGTTACAGTGTAATTTATTTTAACGGCCGGAAAAGTCGAGATCTTTTGTATAAAAATTTGACGAACGGTGTGTAATTCGTACATAATTTGTCCATGTTACGAAAGAGAATGAAATGTATTATATACATGTACAACTTAAGGCACGTGATTCACATTTCTGTATCGCGTTGTTAAACAGTTTAACACGTACGATAACACTGATATACATGAAAAAATTATCAAATCGATAGATATCAGAGTAATCGATTTTTATAATTATTCGTCTGGATTTTAAAATAATTCCCATCGTCCGCGATCATACTCAATCGATAAATCGTAAGCTCGATAATCTTCTTGAAGAGTTATTAATGATTAACATGAGAGTCGAAAAAAGATAAAATGATGCAATTCAATATAATTTTTATCATGTATATCAATAATAAAAAAAAGAAAAAGGAAATAAAAATATTTTAAGATATGTTATCTTATATATGCTTCCGACGTTAAGTTTAAAATGATATTGTAAGATTTTTTGTTTTATTTACCTTTAGGATTTGTAATATATTTTAAATAACAGTAATTATACATTCACAAAATGATTGCTAAATATTTTTTAAATAACGTAATAACGCGCGATGTTTATTCGATGAAATTTTCAAAAACAATTAAATCTATTCGTTGAAATACTTCATTCAATCAAATTTCTATTTATATATAATTTCTATATTTCTACTTAACAATAAATTTAAATTAATATGTAAAGAAAATTATCCTTATTTTTCACTAACAATAAGTATTTTTTAGATAATAAAATACCTCGTACTGTTCATTCGATGTACATTTCAAAAACGATTAATTTAATTCATAGAAATAATTTGTTCGATCCAAGGATTTTCTTGGTGTTAAATTCATTGCATAAAAATTGGCTTCTTTTTTATGTCAAGGATTTTGGTTATTGCCATCGAAGAATAATAGATATACGATCACTCAATGAATAAAAACTAAATTTGTTAAAGAAGCACTGAATTAATTACAACATCTAATATTTCCGCGTTAAAGGATTTCTTTAATATTTAAAAATAAATCCAAGTTAACATGTAAAGAGAATGTTTTTTTCTTTCTGCACGTATATTACATAACAATATACCACGTAACCTTCATTTAATAAATTTTTTAAGAACAATTTAATCCATTCCTTGGTATACTTATAATTAGTTCGATCAAAGAAAAAATGGCCGACTAACATAGACTATAACGTTATATGTATACGTAACTTTCCAGGTACACTTACAATTCGATTATAGATCGGGAAATAAAATTACATTATCGCTCGATAAATTACTACTTCTTTATAAGTCATGATCAGAATATAAATCTATTTCGATAATAATTCCATTGTGTACATAAAAAAAAAAATATTTAAGCTAAAATACCTAAGTTGATATTTTTAAAAAAGAGACAATAACATTTATATTCTTTTACTTCAGTATTCTTTCCTTGTATTCTGAAGGATAAAAAAGTCGTGTTAAATAATGTAATCTTTATTATTAGGTAATTTAAAATTTTTTGAAAGAAGTTGTTTAAAGACACGTACCAAGTACTACGTAGTAGTACTTTGAATAACTTTTTATACGTAGAGTGAACGAAAAAGAATAAAAAAAGAAAATAAAAAAATAATCAAAATAAATATCAATATTTTTCGATAACATTAATTGTTGATTAAAAATTACATACGTAATATGCCAGAATAATGTTTGTAGGAGTCTCAATCAGAGTATAGCAGAATACAACAATGGATTTCTCATAAAACCAACGAAAGGATGCGCAGAAGTTTATTTGGAATAAGAGACTGGAAGAAGAAACTCACCTTTGTTATTATTTCCTCTTTCTCTATTTTTCTTTAGACCGCTTCGTTCGTGCTGATCACAGTTCGATCCGTTTCGAGAATGATTCGTTCTTTTCTGTCCGATGTTCCAATAGAAACAGGAATATGCAGGGCGGCTAGAGAGTATGGGGGGATAATCGGTGAGGAGAATAGTCGGGAAGGGCGAAACCGGAGAATTTCTTTGGTGTTTAGGTAGGTATGAATCTATATAAGAATGTGTATGTATGTTATGCGCACGCGTGTGTGCGCACGCGTAAAAGCGTAAGCGTGTGTGTAGTAATACGTTTGTAGTATATAAGTTCGTAGTAATATGCGTGTAGGTATATAGAAGAATGACCTGATGTAAAAAGTAGTTAGTAAGAATGTGTGCGAACAATGGAAAGAGTTGAAAAACACGCAAAATGATCCTTGCGAAGTAGAATGCACCGCGGTCGAGACTCGACTGCCATCCGGCTTGTCGGCGCTTCTTTACACACCGTTAATCGTGCCGCACCGCGCCACGCTGCGGTCGCAAAATCGGGAACGGCAGCGCCGTTTCGAAGATTTCTAGTGGACTCAAACTCGCATCATACACAATTCTTTCTTCATTCTTTCTTCGTCCTATTGCCAATTAAAGGGTGGCATCTATCTCGTTCTCTACCCACACATCGCCATCGAAAAAATATATATTATGCTAAACGTGACATTGGAATATCATCGAAAAACAAACTTTATCTTATTTCTAGTTTATTTTTCTTGGCCCGTCTAAATTTATATATCTTTTATTAAGATTTGTTTCCTTTTTCTTTTTTATGTTTTTTTTTTTTTCAAATGTCAAGGTAAAAAATTTGATGATTTGAAATTAGTTGATTTTTCTTTTATTCGTTTTTTTTTTTATAAAATAGAGTACTCAAGTTGGATTAATAGATATTTATATGTTACTGTTAAAAAGTGTATAATTCAGTTAATTTATGAAAAATCAGTATTACACGAAATAACTAAGTATCTTAAGAAAATTTGTATATAAACATTTTAATGATCGTACTATAAATATGCTTATTTCATTGATCAAATGTTATATTTAACAAGCATCCACTTACATGTACATATCTGAAAAATTAAAATTTCCTTATTTCCTGATGATATTATCTTGAAAACTTATTATTCAGCTAGAAACATACTTTAACAATATAGAACTTATCGACCGTTTAACGTTCTTATTAAAAATATATAAACAAATTAATCTTCCTAGAAAAATTTTCTTATTTTCGACAATTTGAAGAAGTAACATATGAAAAAAGACCGATTGTATCCAAAGACACTAACATTCGAATGATGATACGATTCTTTTGCAATTACACCTTCTTTCATATTTAGGCAAGCGAGTATAGTTATTTCACGGTTTAGCTAGTCATTTCACGAATTAACAAATATCGCGAGGTAACGCTCTATATAATTATTTATTTATTTAGAAAAACAAAATTTTTGTTCGTATCTATAATTTTGGATTTAATCATTTTTTGTTGGTATCTTCAAAAATAAGATATTGTAGAGAGATAAATATTAGAATTAATCATTTATTTGTAGTTACTCTAACAACAAATAAAATATTTAATTGCATTTTGTTTTTTGAATTTTATGATGTATCTTTTTATGTTTTATCTTATTCCAAAGTCATGCGATTATTGTGATTGCTAAATTGATTTTATGAGTCATTGATTATTCGTTATGAAATAGTTTGATTAATTTTCCTTTAAAATTATATAATTTTATTAAAAATCTTTAAGTCGATAAGTGGAAATCTTCCTCTCTTTTATCTTTTCACCTTGAAATTTTATCATTTCTAGTATTTTTGTTTTTATTACGTACAATTTTTTTCTTATAAAAGAAAGTTAAAATAGTCACGGTCTTATTACTGTTTTTTTTTCTACTTTAAGATATTAATCGTTGGTTTTTAAGAAAAAAATGCATACATTTAAAAAACTAGAATCTTCTTCAGTATATTTAAATGTAAAAACTTTAATAACATTTAGTTCTATTATAAATTTTTTTCAATGATAATTAAAATTTCAAGCTTATCAATAAATATTAATTATGATTATAGATATATAATGTATTTCGATGCTATTATTAAATTCACTCGCGTAAGCATCATATATACTGACATGAGATATTCGATCGATATAACCAATATACAGGTAAATGCTATTTAACTATCGATTAAATAGAACATAGCGAATATGAATCGTATTATTTAAATTATTGAATTTGATCTTTCATAGTTTATCGCTCATCAACAAATGTTATATTATAAGGTATTTTTCCTTTAATTTAATATAAATATGCCATTTTTCTTCTCTTCTTATCTTTTTAGTTATTTTTTGTGCTGATGGTGCTTAAATTACTGCCTCGTAAGCTGTTGATAGCGATATATAGTAATAAAATTACTGATATATTTATATCGTTTGATTCTTTTTAATAATTTGCAATAAACATTTTATTTCTCATTTTTGTATTAAAGATATATATCATAAAAAATATAAAAATAAACATTATGAAAGATGATTTACACTATATCTGCAGTTTTATTAACGCGGATTAATACTCAGATATTTTCATAGACCATATTTACTTTCCGAGTAAAATTTTACGATTATCTTAGTTAATCTTCTTTATATTTTATTCGATAAGTCAATGGTTTCCAAAGTGGGCGATGAAACCATTCAGGGGGGGGGGGCGATGATGGCCACAGGAGCATTTGGAGGGAGGGAGAGAGTTCGATGAATTTTCTTTTTTGAGTTACTAAGAAAAGAAAACAAGGAAAACAAAAAAATTAATTTTTATGGGGACAATAAGTAATATTTTTTCTGGAAAAGGGGCAATAGGACAAAAAAGTTTTGGAACCACTGCGATAAGTGTTATAAAATATTTATAAATTTTTTTCTTATCGTATTTTTTTTTCCTTCTTCATTATTATTATGTCTTCTTATAAACATTTTGTTTTTTAACAAATTGTTTTGACTTTTCTCGAAAGTGCGATCACGCTACCAGAGTTCTCATTGTCAGAGTGATCTTAATTTACAATCATTTCTCGGGTTCAATTACTCACTTAACCCGACTCGCGTTGACGATAAGCGTCTATTAAATCGCATCAACAACATCGGTCACTTGGACGTATAAAAACGAATTTGTATCTTGAAAATTTCCTTAACACTAAATATTTATCTCCTTCACCTTCTACTCACAATTTTTCTCATGCCATTTTTTTGTTTGGTAATTTTTTCACGATCGTTTTAACATAACGATAAATATAAATGATCATATTTTTTCCTATTTTTAAATATACGCATAACTCTTTTAAATCCATTACATTCTTTAACATTTTTCATAAACAAAAATCTATAGATATTAAGTTCAGAGAACGTAATGAGAATTTAACTGCAACTCGTCGTTCTATCCAGTATCTTGTTAATTTTCATTCAGATAAGTTTGCACCTTTTAGTGGAAATATTATGGTTTATAATATTATAAATTATGAGAAGACTATAACCAAAATGCTTAAGAAATTTAAGCTAAAAGAATTTCGAAATTTGTTTTTAGCACAAAATTAATTACTAACTTTAACCACGAGCTGTTTTAATAAGGCATCACTGGATACTATATTCATATTCATTACAAATTTATATTTAATACAAGTCTCATTGTATTAAATAAAATTTTTATCATTAAAAAAAATAATAATAACATAATTATTCAAGATGTCTCTGGTAGTATTGAATAAGTGCGAGAAGGTGTTAATAGAGAAGTACCTTGAACCCGTAAAAGGAAAAATAAAAAAACGAACATAATTATAAATATCTATAATCCTATCAACAACCTGTATTGTCATCAACATTATTAAGTATTATTATATAATACATTATAATTTAATAAAAAATTGTTACTATTGTGGACGTCATTCGTTAATACTAAAATAGCTAGGAGTGAAATGTAAATATGCTTTTTTGGACATATTTTGTAGTTATATAATCTACATTTGAAATTTCGCGCTGTTTTGATCAGCTGTTAAATGCAACGAAACGATAAGTCGTGCTACTATGTTCAGTCCGTAGGAGGCAACATGGCGGTTTGGAGCAGCTTATTGCGTTCTGCAAGCCAAAAAMTAAATAAATTTCCTACATTACTGTTTAAAAAACCTCTTATAAACAGTAAGTATTCAATGTTTATACTCAACTATTTTAGCTTTATGTTTTTTTGTTAATTTTTAATGATTGTTTATAAGTGATAAGATTCGCGTTATATAATATTTTATTGGGAATTAAATTTATAATAATAAGCCGTGTAAATGACAACAGTGATATTTTTCTGTACTTTTAAGTGAAAGTTAAATATTATTTATATTATTTGTTATGTTATAATTTATCATTATTATAGATTACTGTCTTAGGAGTTCATATGTTTGAGGTTATGTATTATCATATATTATATATATTAGGTTGAGTACATATTTTTCTCATATTTGAATTTCATTTGAATTACTCTTTGATTATTTATTTATACCTTGAATTATTACTATTAATATTAAATTAATATATTAGCATTAATTGATTCAACAAATCATTGGATGTTTAATCTCTACAATATAATATAAGAGTTATAAATTATTAATTTATATTTTTATAGATCAGATAAGATGTATGTCACATGATCGTGTAATGGCAATAAAAGGTTCTAAATGGCAATGGTCAAAATGTAAAGATTTGTTTCACTTCTATGTTATGTTGGGTGTAATACCATTATCACTTCTTACATTTTTTGTAAATGTATTTGTGGGTCCAGCGACACTTGAACCTATTCCAGAAGGATATAATCCAAAGCCTTGGGAATATTATAGAGTATGAAATTTTGATTAATTTAATTTTATGAGTTAATATTATTAATTCTTTGTGGATAAGCCAAATATATGTGTATTTAACTATTAGGGTAGCCAAGTAACTCATATATGCGACCAATTTTTTAATTTTAAATTAATATTTAATGATAAATAATAAACTTAATAAATAAATAAGTAAGTATATTTTATGAACATTAAATTTCTATATTATTTATGAATTTAAAACTACACTAGTATCACCTATATCTATTAAATAAATATCTACTAAATAATTAATTATATATCAATAAGATACACAGTAAACGACAAAAGTAGACTTATCATTTTGCTGCTTTATCCGCAAAGGCCTAATGTAATAGTCTTCCTATCACATTTGATATATTTCGTCATTTTATCTTAATCGTTTATATTTCCATTATTTTCAGCATCCTATAACCAGATTTATGGTTCGTTATTTACTTGTATCACATCAGCAAGATTATGAAAAATATTTACATTCTATGTATATAGAACAAGAACTTAATAAGACAAGACATCTTCAACAAAAAATAGAAGATTTGATTGAAGAAAGAAGCGATTATAAATTCTTCTACTATGCACCAATAACGGCTAAATATCTCCATCAAGCTAGAAGTGCGATTGAATCGTCAGATGTGTATAGAACCTATAAAAAGTATTGATTCTTGTGTCTTAATGAACAGATAAAAAATCTTTGTGATTGTTTGATATTTGAGATTTTTACCCAAGGGTATCAAAAGAGAGAAATATCAATCACAAATATAGTGAAAACTTTTAGGATAATAATAATTCAATGATACACTTATATATATAAATATGTATAATATACTATTGTCAAATAATATTCAATAAAAGCATTTGAAAATAATTTCAGATTTCCATAAATTTATTATTTTATTCAGAAATTTATTTCTTTGCATGTAAAATTTTAACTGTTATATGTTTTCTTTCATATAAAATATATTTCAGTTGTTATTAATGCTTTTTTTTTTATTTAAAGGGTTTTTCACTTGATTTTATTTTATATTTAATAAAATAGTTATTAATATAATATTTTTTTTATAAATATTCAGTTTATATAATTCAGTTGATAATTCATACAATTGTTATTAAAACGCTAAAATTTATTTAGATACTAGCCGCTTTTTTTAAGGAGTGGCTGAAAAGAAAATAGAAACAAGTAACATTTTTTTTAAATTTGAAGAAAGTACATAGCTGCAAACTAGATATTGTTTAATTCAAAAAATGTTACTTGCATCCTTTTCTTTTTTATTCACTCCAATAGTATATTTGGTGACATTACCGACACATGAAAACAACGAACGGATAGCGTTCTTGTAATTTGTTGCCATCTATCATAAAAATAAGGAAGTAAGGAATTTGAAAGATTGATTTTTGTATATGCAAGTTCGTCTGAATATTTAATTAATTATTAATTACATGTCTTATATAACTTTCCCTTATTCCAATTACCTAAATTTTTGATGTGCACATTATTACAATATCTAGAATCTTAAATACTTTATAAATTAAAATTTATATTGTATATTCGTATGAAGTAATGTTTATTCATGTTCATTCATTCTCCTATTTAATGTACTTCAACCTTTCATTGTACCTTTCTTTTTATCAATTTTATAGATAATTTTTTGGAAAAAGTTAGAATCTATATTTTCATATTTCTATAAGTATTCTTATCTCTTATTCGATTATCTCATTATCGTTAAAAATTTGTTTTCAAAAAATACAAGCAACTTAAATTTGACATTAAAAGTCCTATTAACATTAATAATCAATGCCAAATATTGGTGACTCAATTCTTTTTCTTTGAATGAACCTAATGTCCTGTTCACTTTGCATATTTTGAAGAAAGACATTTTGTAATTCTTTTTTTAAATTTTGCACTTCGCATTATTAAAGGATTATATTTTCAGTAAAGTACATTCTAATTGTTTATCCATTTCTAGTTCTCTTTTCACAACAAACATATTTTGAGTGATCCAAGTTTTTTTTTATTAAATTTTGAGGATATAGATAGTAACTGTGACTTTTCAATATTATCATTATTCGAGTACTTATAGAACGATTTATTAACATTGATTTTATCTTCAGATTTTTTAATGGATTGCTACATTTATGAAGAATAATACGGTTTTTAAAAGCTCTAAACCTTGGTGCACACCTTTCATTAATTAAAATATAAATTCGATTTGGCAGTTTTTTCCAGTCTAATGCTGCTGCATCAGCGTTAAAATTCTGATCTGCCATATATGTCCTCCTTCCTCTTTAATTACAGATAATTTCAGCTTCATCTTATGGGCAGCCTCTGCATTTCCTGAGACCTGTTCCCCTTGAAATTTAATATTATACAATGAATTATTATTTTTTTAATTGTTTAACTAGCTTTATTATCAACAGCAAATGATTAGTTCTCTTTCTTCGTAGAAGAATGCCTATTTTCACGCAAATGATTGTAAATTTGAAGTACTTTTTTCTGAACAAGATTTTCATTCACAGAGATATATTTGTTGCAGTATAGTCTTTCAACCAAATCATTAGAACTTGTTCTATTTTAACCACGTCAATATTTCGTATGGAGATCATATGTTTGGCATTTAATAGGCAGCTATCTGTTACAATTTTTCTTATTTTTTTCTCATTTGTCTTTGTTTAAATTTAATAATTTTATTTATGATTTATAGACTAATAGTATATTTTTTTGGTTAAGTCCATAAAGGATTATTATTTTAAATATCGTGTAATTTTGCCCAATTATGATAACACAAATGAAGCATACGAAAAGTATTTCTTTAAATACTTATCATAATACATGTGAAACCATTTAAAACAAATAGTCAACTAAATTAAGCCAAGTTATTGCATAAAGCAAGTTATGTGAACAATCTTTTAATAGTGTCTTAAAATGTTTTGTAATTTATGAATATTCCGAATGACTTTGAAATAAAATGTAAATCTGCTAGTTGTTTCTTTAAAAGAAAAAAACAATTAATTTGAACAAAAAAATGGAATATATATTTCTTCTTGAATCACGACATAACAACTTTTTTTTCAACGTGACGATAAGCAATGATTAGCTCTTCTCTTAAAGTAACAATTCTCAAACAAGTAGCTCTTCTCACGTAACAATTTGTGTGACGTGTATAGATGGAAGGATAAAAAACAAAATTATACACGGTGATAAAAAAAGAATTCAATATTTGAAGAGTTTATAGTATTGCTTGAGACGAGTAAACATAGGTCTTAAAATCAACCCTTTTAATATAAATTAACCACTATTATTTATGAGCGTTCGATATCGGAAATAAAAATCAGAAACAGTCTATCTTTCGGCCCATGTTTACTAATGTGAAATATAGTGTTGTATTTAATGTATAAACACATTGAATAAGTTGTTTGAGAACATCCTGTATAAGTAGTTTGAATATAATTGTTATAATTGGAATAAGTTGAAGAAAAATTTAATAAGTCCGTAAATGAATTGTTCAAAAGTTAAGAATTATTTCATATGATTGATCCTAATAATTCACTAATGAATTCCTAAAAACAAGATTATCCAATTTTTCGTTATGTCTACTATGTTGAATAAAACTGAACTACATAAATAAACGAGGATAAATTACAAATTACTTAATCAGTTTTTCTAAGAAATGAAATCAATGTCAAAGAATTAAATAGAACTTTTTTTTTCTTTTAGATTTAACTTTTTTAAACATGATTTCTCTACGCGTAGTCGTGATTAGTATTTTATCAAGAAAGAAAATGTATATATTTCCTTATTTTCAACAGAAGGGAAAAAAAGAACAACAAAAAATTTATCATAAAAGTAAATTTTTAATAATAACACGGATACTTTATAATTTATTTCAAGGTTTTTATCATGTATTTACGAATATTCAAGTATTTGTGTATTCTTATGAATATCCTATGGTATAAAACAACACATGGATAGACATACGGAAGATAAGCCGATTGCATTCAGCCGGTTGGTTGGTTGATTGGTTGCCTGGCTGGCTGGCTGGCAGACCACCTCATGTCGATGTAAGAACGAGTCACAGTTAGTGGTCATTGTCAAGGTCGGCTTTCTGCCGACTTGTACGTTGCATAATATTCTTAGGCTGTGCTGTACGAATGCATAGGAGCATAGGCGCCGTCTAAATAGTTTGTGTATGTCTGTATGTACTTAACGGCTATTCCGAAGGTGAATGCATTTATCGCTGTAACAAAGAAGAAAATAAGACGAGATCTTCCCTCGAACTGGCTGATTTCAAAATTGACCTTATTATTGCTTGTTTTTTGCTTATTATTATCGAAAATACTCGGGAAGGATCAACGATTATAATTCATTAATTTCGATGATCGCCTTAACAAAAAGAAAAAAAAAAGGAAAAAAAAGAAAAAACATGAATCATTTTACTTTAAACTTAGTTGTAAATAAAATTTCGTTACACTTCACGCTTTGTTGATTGCTTTAATAAACAAGCGACATTTTTATTAGAACTATGACTCCTATTGCATATAAGGGAATGTAAAATTTATACTGGAAAATAATGGACTTGTTACGTATCTATTGTATATCATATGTATATATATATATAACAGAGTTTACAATTAGTCATATGAACTATCATAATAATTGATAAAAACAAATGATTTTACTGAGTAATTATGCTATTAGACCGCGACTTCCGTAGAGATCTCGATGATAGGACATCACCCTCGGCGATTAACCGATGTCTCTTTTCTTTTCTTTTTTTACTTCTTACGAATAAATGTACTTATATGTGCATATGTATATGTGTGATCGAAATAATTTTCAAATTGAATTCGAATGTTCTACTGAATTCCACTAATCCATCTAGAGTTCTAATGCGTTTTTAACTTACGTTGATGATCATTTTGCAATGTATGATAAGAGTGAAAATAACAGCTTACTTGAAGTTTAATCACGAATGCTACATAAGAGCTGATCTTGTTTTGTGTATCTTCATCTTATTTTTCGATTTATATTTTTTTTTATTTCTTGTATATTATTTGAAAGATCTAATCGGTGAAGATTCTTTTTCCTTGTATTTTTATCTTGTTATTTAATTTTTTCTTTTTTCCTTATTTTGTAGCAGTATTTAAGTCATTTGAATGATACTGGTCAATCTGTAGGACAATTTCGATTTTAATTTGCAAGTTTCTTGCCTGGATTTTAACATTTCCCTGCCCTTCTTCTCTTTCTCTTTCTTTCTCTTTTTGTCAAATTTGAAAAAGCGAAAAAACATGTGATTTTATAAAGTGGACATAGCGAAACACAAAGATAAAAAAAATGGGGATAATATGCTTCATCATGCGATAGTTTGTTAAGAATTTATTTGTCTTTTCTGAAATTTTCTTATTCTATCGTGTTGTCGATTGTTATAAATCAAATCCTTCACAATTTATGAGTTAATATTTTCCTTACATTTTATTTCATTTGTTCTCCGAATTTTAGATCGTTATTTAAAAGGTGAGCTATTTATTTCTTGTGACATTACTAATAAAATTTGAAGAAGGAGAAAGATAAGTTACGTAAGGTGTAGTTACCGTGCGGTTAACAACGTTAAATTATTGAAGGAGTTAATAAGTCTCCAATTATATTCATAGAATAATTACTTACGTTCGATAATGACGAGCGATCTCATAATCGATTTAGGTTGCAATTGAAAAAGAAGGATGAGGTAATATATAAAAAAAAAAAATGAAATATACATAGAAACAAATCTACATTTCATTGA